GTATTCTAGAATCGGATGAATGCATGCTTTGTAGAGTAGGACCCTTGATTCTGCACCATGAAAGTTACGACTTATACTTTCCAGGAGTCCACGTGACTTAATTCTCCTATGCGCTGCCTGCTCAGAAAAATTCAGGTCACTGGAATATCTGAGCCCTAGTTCTGAGACATAACTAGTGATGAAATCTACCGAATTGTTGGTCTCCTGCAAGCTGTCACTTGATAGGGTGCTATCCTGGCCAAACAAACAAGCTAACTCGGAGAATTTCTCAAGGGTCGTTCGAATATCGTCTACAATAACCCTAATGTTGGCAATGTCATCTCGGTTTTCCTCGAGTCTTGCATCCATTCCAGGGACAATGTCTGAGGCTCTGATGATCGGTGTGAAGAAATAATTCTTCCTGTATCTGAACTACAGGCTAAGTCATCTATCTGATTGCATTTAGAGACGGATCCTGAAGCACTCGTTTTCGAGTTTTCACCAAGACAGTCTGTTTTCAAGCTCTTAGGTTTATTTCTTTCCCCAGTAAATGTATGGATTACGTGTCTCTCTACTGAGTCAATAAAGGGTTAGTTATCTCGCAAAGCAAACCACATTCGCTGAGCGAATATGACGTACGCATGTACTGATACTTTTCAAATAGTACTAGATATGGCAGTACACAGATAAACCGGTACAGAGAAAATGACAGAAATTACGTTGAAGTGTAACACAGTTTCCAACGTGCCGCGTGGGACTGTGGGAGCAGCACTCATCCAGTCTGTGGACAGTCGATGGTGACCAGCGACATTCTCTTCAAAACGCCTTGCCCCACCAGAAACCTGGTATTCAACGTGTAGCCGAAAACTGCGGACGATCTTTTTAGCCATTTAGCATTCCCGTCACATGGCGGAAGGCAGGACGTGTGCAGCCTACACGGATCGTAAGCGTTTAACTTACGCGCTAACTGCAAGGCCTGACACATTCCCAACGCGTGAAATTCGTCACCTTGACCCTATGTCGCAATTTACGAGCAATATGAGATATGCTAAGAGTGCACAAAATTACGTGGCGGACGCTCCGTCTCGAATTAACGTAGGTGCTATTAATCAATCTGCTATAGATTTCAAGGCTTTAGCAGCAGATCAAGAAACAGATGAGGAATTGAGAAGTTTGCTCTCCAGTGGTAATTGCAACCTGGAACATAAGCAGTTACCTCCACCCACAGATGGTAGACTCATTTACCGTGACACAACGAGAGATTCACCAAGACCTTATGTGCCTAAAAACGTGAGGAAGCTAGTATTCAGTAACTTTTGCTCGTTGTCACAACCCGGAGCAAAGGCCTCTACCAAACTTATTGTCCCAGTTTACAGTGAGATGTATGAAAATGGGTTAGGGACGTGAGGCGTGTCTACAATCTACGGTAAACCGACACAATTTTGCCACTGTGAACGCTTTTTCAACCCGATTTGCGTTCTGCACATGTACACGTAGATTTCGTAAGTCCTCTACCTTATTCTATCGTTCACGTACATTTCCACATGTTTCGATAGATACAAAAGTTTCCCGACAGCCAGCCCGCACGCAGACACAACCACAGAAACAGTGACACAGGTTTCTGCAGACCTGAATGTCAATATTTGGCGTTCCTGCGACGATCACCAGCAACAGAGTGGTACAGTTTGAAGCAGAACTTTTTAATAACCCAGCTAAATCCCTCGGTTCTCACAGAAAACATTGCACGGCATACCACCCACAGGCAAATGGCTTGGTGGAAAGATTTCATCCGCAACCTGAGGATGCCTTGATATCACACTCTGGTGCCACTTACTGGACAGAATGCCCCCGCCATGTTAATCTTCAGTATTCGTCTAGCAATGGAGACCGACACACAATGCTCAGTGGCAGAACTGGTTTTCGGCACCGCCCTTAAGACTTCCTACGACTTTCCCAAAGATACTGACACTTGCACACATGTGTGGTCTCGTTGTGACAGAATTTAACCGCCCCTTGGCCTCCCATATGAAGGACCCTATAAAGTTCTCCAACGACATACAAAATACTTCGTCATAAAACGTTCTAACCCTAAAGATAGCGTTAGTATAGATGGACTCAAGCCAGCATACCTAGACAACGATCGGCCATATGTAACCCCATAGAGGCTTCCCCAACATACGGTGGATGGTATAACGAACAACACACAGGTTTGTAAACCGATTAAAACAGTTAGGTGGGCACAACCTCTGATACAAAGTTGGCCGACCAGAAAATAAAAGGTTAGTAAAACTTTATGGCAACATTTTCAACCGCACGGTTTTAGTTTTCACATTTTATCCGGGGTGAAAGATGTTGTCTTCAGTGAGTACCTTACAGAAAAACATTATTGAACACCAAAATAAAGTCAACCATTTGGGCTACCTTACCTTTGTTTGAGTGTCTATATTATTTTAACCTGAGGTTGAAACATCACGAATAAGTGCCAGTTGATCTACAAACGCTCAAACTTCAAACTTCGAAGCTATCGACGTTCAGGGGATATCCAACCTATAAACGTTCGGGTGGGTGAGTCACTCCCCCGTACGGACGTCAGAAATGTACAGTGAGCACTCAGTATCAGTTATTTCCATTCTTAAGATAATGCCTGTTTTCAAGTTCTTTAAGATTACCGCTGGTAGACCTTCGGCGATGTGTGGAAACAGTAGTGCTTCTTTATCCACAGTCACTACTAAAGGAGGAACCTGAAGAACGCCTTATGGGGAAATTTTAGCGAAAATTCGAGTTCAAAAGAAGATTCAAGAAGTACCATATATCGTTGTGAGGAAAATGGTGCTTAATAAACCGATTACAAACCGACATTTTTACAATGTTTCTTCATTCATCGTTATTCCATTTGATCGACGGAACAACTTTCGTGCGCAATTATCTTTTTCTTTACCTTGTAGCCTCACATACCTCTTCACAATCAATGGCCTAGGGTTCGACGAGATTCAACATTGGTGCTGACCCCCACAGTTTTATCGAGGGCTCCCAGCTCCCAGTTCGTTTGCCCACCGCAATGCCTGGACCAAACATGTACTTCTGCCACCTCCTTCTTATTTGCTACCTTGTGGCTGTCTCCAGCAAATTGCCCCGAGCGTCAGCCATAGGCCCCTGGGCCCAACGAGTACAAGATAAATCCAATTTACCATGGTGACGTGGAAATGATGATCAACTGTGAAAGTTATTGGAACTCGTGTCAGCTAGTCCCCATTTTTCGGTTATTTTTCATCTTTAAGCCAACAAAAAACACGGGGTGGGTCACATCCCGAAACTAATATTCAGAAGCATGATCTTTGCTGTTCCTGTGCGCAGCATAGTTTTGTGATTATAATTGTTAGTCCAGTATTTTGATAGAAAAAGACGATGAAAAATGTCCTGTTGAGTGGAGCTTATGAAAGTGAACCCAGCACTGCTTCTAAAAGCCAACCTGTGAATATTTGAATTTTCCAAGTGTAAGTATGTCTTCGTCCACTGAAGTCAGGAAGACCGATGTTAGGCCGATCAAACCTTATAACCGAGGTGCGCAACGCTGGTACTAAGGTTTACCAGAAATTCAAAAAAAAAGAAACTTGACCTTTCACAGATTTAAAACTGAATTAAACAAAAACAGGCAGTGCTATCTGGGAACAGCGACAGGGCGCTAACAATGGACACTCAAGACTATAAAAAAGAAATTACCATCTGATCTATTGGTATAATGCCAAAGGTCGGCTGGGCAGTTAGACGACTTCCGATCACTCTCCTCGGCGTGGTCGAAAAAATAACAAAGAGAAGTCTAAAAGATGAAACCATCTTGTATTATAACGCGTGGGAAAATACTAGCCATCCTCAAGCCGGTATCCATCATGGACTGATATCATACGGAGAAGCACTCCAAAATGACATGCAGCTATCAGAACTCAGGTCGTTGGAAAATAGTTAGAGCTTCAACCTGGAAAAGTGCAAAGTAATACACATCAGTACTTATGATGCAAGGACTGTCGAAAATAAAAACTGATTGGGCAGTCGTTCTATCACGAGACCATCCACGGGGGCTTAACTTCTCAGACGCCCTGAACACCAGCTCTGAGATATGGCAGCCAGAGCGAACATCAATCTATACTTTCTACTAGCTGTTCTCACCCCTGACCTGTTTCTCATAGTTTTAAAACCCTACGCATGGCCACATGCAGAGGTGTTCAATGCGGTCCAGTCCCAATGTTCAAGAGGGGCTTCAACCTCCACGAAAAAATGTAAAAAGTTCCGCAACAAAATCGGTTGCGGGACTAAGGGGGAAGATGTACTCTGAAGGACTGAAATGCCTGAAAATTTTCACCTTGGGCTAACGCAGGAAGAGGAGTGACCTCACTGTGGCCCACAAAATTACCGTACAGCCAAACCACCTGGACAAGCTAGCCTCGTCTGCAACACGGTGGTCACAAAATATTCACATCAGGATAGTACATCAGATGGCAAACACAAAACTCAGGCTTAGCTTTTTCTCCTTGAGAGCACCTTACCGGGGGATGTAGTCACAGCCCCCTCGCCAGACTAATTTATAGAGTGGTTAGGCAGCTATGTCATTTCGTGTGGCTTACCACGGACGTATTCGGGGCATCACCAACCTCAGTAGCCCATCACTGCTTCCTTCATATTTACCGCCCACCATCTCCCTCGTTGATGCACTTACAACATCTACTAATTCTTTTCCAGTGGATGAACTCATACCATCTACTTTTATCCTCCAGTTGAGTTCCATATAGTTTTTTCCACTATCTTGTAGTTCCTATGCGAGCTCCTATACGGACAGAAGTCACGGAAAACCACTGATCCTCCCGGAGTCCAGCAGTCCCCTAACCACCTCAGTCTGCAACTTACTATTACCAGTCCACAAAACATTCATCTAACCAAAGCTAAAAACAGAAGAGACTTCCTTGCACATTGCGAGAAAAAACTGAACAACAAGAACCGGGCTTTAAAAACTAGATCTAAAGCGACTAGTTTCCTACGGTCACACTATCGATTTTAGACGTTGAGAACGTAAGAATAGTTATTAGGCTGAGCGAAAGCGTGTATTCTGACATTAACCATCTGAACCACTTGAAGTGCCTGTGAAGGCCGTTAAGCTTACCGCAAAATCAAACCTGTGCGATGCAGGTCCCAGTCTTGCAATTATTTTGTGGTAGCCTAAGTCCTAAGCCATGGCACAATGGAGTGATAGGTGTTTGCTGGTTCGAGATCTATTTTTTCATTCCAATTATAATCCTTTGTACACTCTTCTCACTCGTATACTGTGCTTGTATATGGAAATACTTGGCATTCGATAGCCTTTACTGTTCAATCTTATACTTCCGAGTTGCTGTGGATGTAGCCATCATTACAAACAGCTGTGTGACTGTCGTGCTTTCATTTCTTCTGCCATATTTCGAGGAAGGCTTCTCAATTAACTCTCGCTTTATTGTTATTCACAATTTGCTGACGGCTATACTCTGGATCGCAATTCTTGTTTTTGACTTTCTCCATGGGAAAGCTACTAAATATTCCTCTAGAGGTCCTCTGCTTTTCTTGGTGTTTTCATTTGCCTACCTGCTTTGCTGTGTCATAAACTGTTGGTCCTTTAGAACAGAAGTAGACGAATTCTGGCGACCTTTTATCGTTGCCAATTGCTATATCCATTTGTTTCTGCTGTGCTTGCATCTTTTCTCAAAAGTCCCGGTTTTATATCCTTCAGAAGAGCCAAGACGCAGGAGAGCTAGGATCCTCAGGGGAAGTCGTGGTGCTGATCAACTGCCTCAATATAATGAACCAGGAGATATTTCACAAGGATATATCAGTCAGAGTGATGTGAAATGTGAGGATCTAGCACCGTATATATCTAGGGTGTTTTTTTGTTGGGTTAGTGGCTTGATACGTAGTGGTTACTATGGGGAGTTATATTCACTTCGGAATCTGCCCATACTCCCGAAGCGTTTGAATACATATATTTTGGAATCAAAGCTTCCTGACTTGAATTCCAAATTATCTTCTAAGTCTACAACATTTCCGCAGCTGTTCGAACGTTTAGATCACAGATATTCCCTCAAGGCCTCTACACCATTTTTAAAGGCTTTTTTTAAACCGTTTGGTCGTGAATTCATATTTCTCGGTATACTTAAACTTTTGCTGAGTTGCTTTAGCCTGTGTAGCCCAGTGATTCTAAATCACTTCATTCTAAGCATTACAAGTTCTCAAACGCCCACTTGGTCTTGCATACTTACTGGCCTTGGACTCGTTCTTCTGTCGTTTAAGATAGCCCTACTGAGCACATCATACAACTACCGAATGGCAAGTTTCAGCTTCAAAGTCAGAGTCAGTGTAAGCGGCATGGTTTACAGGACCATCTTGTCTCTTAAAACATCCTCTCTCAGTGCTATCGGGACTGGAAGCCTGGTTAATTACTTGACATGTGATGCTGACAGAATAGTTAATTTGGCTACCAGTGTGCATGAGATATGGGCAATGCCTCTACAGTTGCTTGTTGCAGTTTCACTACTTTACCGTCAACTTGGACTTGCTTGTCTAGTGGGTGTCGGTTTTCTTGCTGTATTACTCCCGCTAAATCGCATTTTGGCAACCCAAATTGGAAAATTTAGTCGCCGTCTTATGTTGTTCAAAGATGCAAGAATTAAGGTACGTGTACTCACTTTATATTGTTGAGATCCCCATCTCTTTGTTTTATCATGAAATGAATAAATTATTATACAGCTGGTTTTAACAAAGCAAGTATATGCGTTTTTGTAAATCACCATCTTATATGTCCCATTTTTAGCACTGCAACCAGTTTTATTGTCCAGATGATCATTTCTGATGTTAGTGACTTCTTAAATACTTGAACTATAAGAAACAATTCTGCGGGTATCTCTAAGCTTTTCTTCACTGATGACTGACCGATGACAGCCAAGCTCAGGACTTCATAATATTTTAAGCGCCTGTTGAAATGATCCTATACATAATTGAGGGATGCTTACTCAAACTGAAAGTTATGTCCATTCCCAGAACTCCCACCGTTTTCACTCTGGAATTACTTCTCAAATATTTCATCCACTTTCTTCGTATCATCTTTCGATAATAGTGTTTAAATAGCCGAGTCTCATTTAGATGAAAAGACCTAGTTAACCTTTACGTTGATAGGTTGATATATTGATACATAAGTAAAATACGAAAAGTATGGCATTCCAAACATTTGCTCTGTTTGAAAAATCAAATGTCCCGCTCAAAATTACTTTCTACCCAGTCTCAAATGGTTTGATGTTTTCCCTTTCCGTGAGCTGAATGATTTAATTACAAATGATAACACAACATAAGGTTGCTGAAAAAACTTTGCACATGTAGGATGTCAACGGAAGGGACGAAGATCCAGGCAAAACAATAACTGTATGATATTGATCTACTGTTAACTAAAAGTCCAATCATGTCATTCTAACCATCCGCAAGAAGTAAAGTTGCCTGTTTGGATTATAACACTCTTAATTTTTCTCCGAGTAGTAATAGTAGTAGCTCAGTGGTAAAATCGCTGACTACAATGCTGGGTGACGTGGGTTCGAACCTCAGGCGGGGCATCAGTTCCGTCGAGGTTGCAGATACGCCTTGCTGACGAGTGCCAAAAGGCACGAAACCTAGGTGCAGGTCTTCCTGCCGATTGCCTCCAACCAACTAACAAAAAAGTCTTTTAAGACTTTGTAATAATTGTCCGCATTACAACTCACTTTACACATCACTTCCTCATTCAAATGTATTTTTGCATTTAACAAATCTACTTGGATTAAAAATGTCTTTTAATTTCGGCAGAAATACCATATATTTGGGAAGGGCGGACACTGACATATTCACATAAAATATTGTAAGGGTAAGTAGGTAGACTGAGAGGTGAGAGGTACCTAGTATTATTCTCGTTAGCATCTATAACAAATTTGAAAAACCCAGCCCTCTTGTTTTTCGCCTATTAATATGTATTTTAAATGTGAACATACTTTTCTAAGCATCCTTTAACCATCATTCTACATTCCAATAAAGCGGAACGAATTTGATTTAACGTGGTATTTTCAGTTTCCGCATCCATTTGGAACTTTTTCCTTATCCAAGCAGAATCTTTTTGCTGGGATTAATAGCTGAATACCATGTACTATTAACTTTTTTTATCCTCATTTCTTATCTAGAACAGAGTATCCTATGTGAATATTTACAATCGATAGCTGCAATAGGTATAACGTAATTCCCGAATTTCGTATGTATTTTTCGTGTCGTAATGCAAATAAAATGTCGCTAAAATGCTGAAAGTTCCTCGGTAGTTAATTTGCAACGTGAGCAGTCAGCTAGAATCACCACTTAGTAAGTACCGTCAAAGTGGCTAACCAAATATAAATCCATGATAATACAACTAGGAATAACTCGTTATATAACAAATAGTCATCCAGGGGGGAATAATCAACTATCAAGTGCACACTTTTGCAGTAGGCAATGAACCACCAATTGAGTAAGGGCTAATGGTACTACCTAGCTGCCCAGATCTCGTTCGATGAGGTGAGGTTTGAACTAATTACACCGGCTGAAGTCGAGTGTCTAGTGCAAAGAACCATGGTTCTATCCAGGAATCAGAACGAAAAGTATTCTTCTGTTAATGAAACTTGGTTACTGAATACTGAGTCGCATGTCTAACAGTCGTTTCATCCTCTGGTAAATACTGTACAGATTTTCTGTATGATCTGTCATGATTTTACTTTTGTATTAAACCTCCTCATATTAATTGTCATTACTGTAATGATTCTTTTTGAAAAATATAGCTGATGTCTGAAATGTTGTCAAATATGTTGTCGGTGAAACTAGCATGTTGGGAGAATTTAATGAAAAGTCTAGTTATGCACTCTCGAGTTCAAGAGTTGAAGGCGCTACGTGGCCAGAAGTTACTAGATGCTTGTTGTGTATTTTTCTGGGCGGTGTGTCCTGCACTATTAGCTAGTTCAACATTCGCAACTTACGTGGCCATGGGTAATGAATTAAAAGCTTCTGTGGCAAGTTTTCAGTTAATTTCTCCGTATTATCTCAATATTCTTAATCATAACTATGCTTATCAGTAAATATTACATAGTCTAATTTGTACTATGCATTTTCGGTTATTCTCGTATTTCAAGTGCCATAATGTTTCTCTCATAATCAACCAGAAGTCACGCAGCCGCTTAAACAGGTAAAGTAGCTGATACATCTGATTGTTCTCTTTATAAACAATCTTAACATGTGCATATTCTTGCAGCGTTATCACTCTCCGTGATTATATCTTAGCATATTCTGAATAAACCAATCGCTTAGCGGGTAAGTATACCTCTCATAAATCATCACCCTTGAAAATAACTTTGGAAAGTTAAGTCAGCATTAAATTCAAGCATATAGGAAGAGAATATCTGAGGAGCACTAGCTGTAATACCATCAGAGTTGTCACCATGATTTCCTTCGTCACCTTGTTTATTTAAAGAGATGAGTGATGATAAGGAGCCACGCAATACCCACACTGTTGGTGCTGGCTACTTGAACCACACTCCCCAAATGAAAGAATGAAATCAAACCAAACCATCCGATTGTAGTTGCATAATTTTGGAAACTGGTGTATTCAAAGTACTTCCTGCTTGACTACAATCTTTTCGAATCGCTATTGATTTTGTCTAAATTTGGAGATTAAATTATCCTAGGTCATGATCTCAAAGATTTGTCCGAAATAGCATAGTTCTTTTTAACTAAAGAGAAACACAAAATATCACCATGTCACTTCGATTTGATAGTTTATCATTGGTTTTCTACATTTTATTCTCCACTGAAGACCAAACTTGGAAATGGGTTTGCTCAAGAAGTGTTAGCCAACATTATTTGCAGCTACTATAGCATCAATTTCAAAATACCTACCTCTCACTCCCTTTTTCTATGCCAGTGCGAAGCGCCACAATTTTTTAGATCATATATGTCTACGTAGTGTCACCTACATCCGGTGAAACCAGAGTCAACAATCTAAGGGTTAGCCATGCAGTGTTGGTGAAAGAAGGCAAATCAATCGATGGTGTAAGTTTAGATCTGTAATACTCATAATAACTTACCATCCACCTCGACACACACCGTTAGCTGAAGTACAGTTAGGCTACAAGAAAGCTAAGAGTAATTATATCAAGCCGATATACTTACGTGTGAGGTTGTGTGTTAATCTGTCTATCTATCAAGAAGTGAAGTCTCAGACTGTTTATTTATGCACAGGAATGTAGGCTGTCTTGTTAGGGTGCTCAAAATGATGTGAATCAAAGATCTGAGACTTAAATAAGTAGCTCATCATCGTGACATAAATGTGTTTACTGGTTGCCGTCAAAGTTTTAACATTTTATTGGTCTAAGACTCGCTTTATTTTCCTCATTAACTTATAAGCTCGAGTATAACCGTCGAAACATGTAGTTGGAACATACTGGAGACGTTTTGTGATGCTTATTTGTATTGATATCATTGACACAGTTGCATTCACGTATTATTTTCCTCAAAAGGTTTACGATTTTATTACTCTTGCGTAGTATACATTCTTCCATGCATACTTTCTCTTTTCATGTATTTAAATACCAAGTTTAATCAAACTGGCAAAAATTCACCCCTAAATTTAAGATTTTTATATGGTAAACAATAGTTTACGTCTTTATTTTATTTTAGGTTTTCCCTAGTCTTGCATTATTCAGTATGCTGATTGGTCCAATGAATGCATTTCCTTGGGTTATTAATGGTGTTATGGAGGCGACTATATCTATGCAACGTGTTTCAAAGCTTTTCCACCTACCACGTGGTCCATTTTCATCAGAATTGACTAACACACCACTTTCTGATAATGGAACACCAACAGATGTCCCAATTGTATGCTCCTTTGCTGAAAAATCCACAATCAGCATGCCAGTTAATATCTTGAATGAATCATTCTTTTACACTAATCCTGATAATCTAGTCTTAAAGAATATCAGTCTCCAAGTGCAATGGGTAAATCCAATGTTTTATATTGATTAGTAGGAATGTATATTTCTGTTGAAACCATTAGTGCTTGCTATAAGAACAACCAACGTTCTCATACTAACTTATTTCTTCACACTGTGAAAGCTAAATATCCCGTACATTGAAAAGGAAGTTCTCACCTTTTCAGACATGTTCACTGAAGTGTTCACCAAAGAAGTTTAGTATATTATACGAAGGAAACTAGATTCATTTAATTTAACAGCCATGTAAAAACTCATTTAAGCTGTTAAACTACACCTTTTGTATCACCTAACTATCTAAATTTCTGTGGGGGTGGCCTACTGATTAAAACCTACTGCTTAAACTGACGAACCACAACTGCATATGTCCTACTCTGCTAAAAAGTAAACCAACAGTGGTGGTAGTCGGTTGCATATCGTTGCATTATTGTTGGTACTTACAATAGGACGGAATTTTGTGGAATTACTGAATATGTCATAGCTGATTAGGTTATCTATATATAACTGTGTTTACTTTCTGCCTAAAAGGTTTTGTCTGCACTGAAAGTTGGGTTAAATAGCACACAGCACTGATCTAAGGCTACTATTCAGAGTCACATGGGAAGGTGATGTGTAGTTTAGCCACTTGGAGTTACAGATTATTATACTACATTCTATATTAACTCAGTTTCTTCAAACAACCTTCCATAAATTCACTCTCTTAATATTTCTTTTCAGGGTGAATTGATTGGCGTAGTTGGACCAGTTGGTTCTGGTAAATCATCCCTGCTGTTAAGCATTTTAGGAGAGCTACAGTCTGTTCTTCCAGAAAATGAAACCATTAAAGAGAATTTAAGAATTACTTCACGACTTCGATATGCATATGTAAGTCAAACTCCTTGGCTTCATGCGGGAACTATACGTGAAAACATTGTATTTGGTTCTGATTACGACTCAAATTGGTTAGATACTGTAGTTGAAGCTTGTGCTCTGAAATCTGATTTGGAGAAACTACCCCACGGTTTGGATACAGATGTCGGTGAAGCTGGTGGAAGTAGGCTTAGTGGTGGACAGAGAGCTCGTGTTGCTCTTGCTCGAGCTGTTTATCAAAAAGCTGATGTTTATCTCTTAGATGATCCTTTATCTGCACTTGATGTCGATGTTGGTCAAGAGGTAGTCAGCCACTGTTTACTTGGTCTTCTTTCGGAAAAAACTCGAATTATTGTCACACATCAGTTGGACTGGTTAACGAGTAGTGTAAGTTGAAAATATTTTCTTAGAAATAATGACTATTTTAACCTATCCATAAGTGATGTATTCCTATACACCTTGAAATTGGTACTTAAATTTTCGCTCATTTTCAACTGTTTGGTTTATTAGTCTGTTTATCGTGTAACTACGTTGTTATCCCTGAGAAGTAGGCTCGATAAAGCGATTGAGAAAAAACATTGTGTCGAATAACTTGGTTGATCATTATTAAACCAATTAGGAATACGTAAAAAAGTCACCTTTGAATATCGTTGCAAATGAATACTTTCACCTTAAATTGTTGTTATGCTGGGTAATTATTTCATTACGATCGGTAATTCCATCTAACAAATAGATAAAGAATAGTAGTGTATACTATTTAGAGGTGTAACAAATGAGGTTGAATTTCGTGTACATAAGTGATCAAGTATATATATATATATATATATATATATATATATATATATATATATATATAAGTTAGAGGCATTTTACACTTCCATTTTTGTTTCATGTCGCTGTGTGGTCAGGAAAAACCTTATTGAACAATCTTATCCTACAGTTGACTAATCAAAATAGTTTTATATGTTCATGAAGACTGTATATAAGTGATGTATTTTTGTCGAGCAAAATATCCTCCTTAAAGTCACAGACCAGTCTTTGTCTTCCAACATTTTCGTGGCTCAATGAAGTATACTGTAGAAGAGTAGTCTCTATTCGTATCGAGTCAAAGTGTCTCACTGAGTTAGGATCGTTCGGTTGTTTCTTTTCATTACATTCGATCGCCTCACTTTGTTGTTACTGTTTTTGAAAAATATACATTTAGAAGCGTATAAAAATATTTATATATCAACAAAGACTTCGACTTAGATTTTATGAGAAGAAACGTGAGAAGTGTATTTACATTTATGAGGATTTTAAACCGAAATCACAGTTTAGTATGAAAGTGATTCAGCTTTTGGATCACCGACTAAGTTTTGAGGATGATTGTTAGCCATTTCCATGGTAGTAGGTCACTTATTGTGGCTCATTTGTACTTTTCTTTAAACTCGTTTGTTTTTCATTTAACTTTTTCTGAGTTTCTATATTTCCTTTTGTTAACTGCTTCCTCCTTGAAGACTGGTAGTAAGGATGTCGCTGTGGACTTCATTGTTGAGTTGAAAGATGGGACTATAAAACGCAAATTTTCAGGGAGTTTAAACTCTTTGAATGATCGTCACCTTATACATGAATCCATTTGCCACAAGAAGGATATTTCAGTTGATAATAACCGTGAATTATCTAATCATAACGTTGGATGCAGCGATATCGATAATACAAATCTCTCTTCATCTCTAGAAAATGACGATGACGATACACCATTGATTGATACTCAAAACAATACTACTACCAATATATATCAGTCAAACTCAAGTAACTTGAACGGTGCTGATACTGATGATGTAACTACGGAGCATATGGCTATCGGTTCTATCACTCCCCATGTTTACAAGTCATATATTCGTGCTGTTGGTTATCTTTTGACGTTTTTTATCCTCCTATCTCTGGTGTTAATGCAAGGTAAATTCTTGTACAATATTTTACGCTCTACATCTTCATTTTAGTGTAGAGCAATGAAACACCGACATTCTAACTTACTTCTCTTATCAATCAGTTTGTGTCAGTCATGAGTTATAGCACTGAAGAAATTAATTGTAGACATTACTAAAACAACTCGTTCTCGATATGCGTAGGTAAAAATCATGTCGTGATAGTGGAATCTACTCACCAGTACTGTATTTGAAAAAGTTAGATTATATCATTATGGTTAGGTAGTCGATCTGTTTGACACTGTTGATGTATTCATTCAGTAGTACATCGATCCAAATGATCCCAATCAGCTAAAGATGGGAAATAAATAAACTGAGAATGACGTTAAAGTTGATTCAAAGATAGACGTGATTTAGTGTAAAGGAAATAGTTTAATATTCAAAAAACTATCTCATGAAGTCAAGTATCACATGTAAAATGAATCCAACCTATTTGTAGAATTGAGGTCAATCATAGGAATCAGCCTACTGCACACATGATCAAGAAGGGGAGGAGATGTAGGTTCGCACCACTGACTATCTAGTGCAAGGAATCTACCTTCAAAATCAAGTTGAAAACCTCCGAAGAAGTCAGTGATAGACCACAGTTCAAGTTCAACACCCTGAACAGAAACTGAAGGACGAAGCTACAAAGGACATCTTCACGTCAGCCATCAGAACAAAATTTGAGATACTAAGCAACATCCCCCAGGAAACCTCTGTGGAAGAACACTGGAACTCTTTGAAAGAAATATGGAAAAAAACCTGCATGACTCTATTAGGAAGGAAGGGGAAACAAGGTAAAGAATACATCTCGACGTACACATGGAAGCTGATAGAGCAGGGAGAGGAGGATGGTGAAGCAGAAGATGAACCAGTGCAAGGATGTACAACGAGAAGAGGAGCTGAGTACAACGTGTAAAACACTGGCCAAAGAAATAAAGAAGAGTGCTCCCAAAGATAGAAGACACTTCTACGAAACATTGTCAAGTGAAGCAGAATAGGCTGCCGGTAAGAGAGACAGAGACCTGACAACATTGTATCAAATAACCAGGTTACTATCTGGCAGGGAAGGGATCAACGCAGATGAAACCAATAAAAGATACTGAGGGAAGCCTAGTTACCAAATAGAGAGGAGAAACAAAGGAAACAATTGGCTGTACAGTTATAAAAACTCTTGAATCGACCACCACCACCCCCAACTCGTCCAGAAATACCATCAACAACCGCCGAACTACCAGTGAATACAAGACCTCCGACAAAAGCCGAAGTCCTGAATGCCATAAAGTTGCTGAAAGCCAAGAAAGCATCAGGGCCAGATGGAATTCCTCCAGAAGCGCTGAAAACAGACGCAGAGAAAACAGCAGACATGCTGACACCATTACTGCAGAAGGCTTGGAAAGAAGGAACGAAAGGTACCTCCCGATTGGAAGAAGGACTACTTTGTCAAACTTCCAAAGAATGGAGACCTAAGTCTTTGCAAGAACTGTCGCGGAATCATACTCCTGTCCCTGCAGAGCAAAATATTATGCCGTATCATCCTGGAGAGACTAAACAATGCGTTGAATTCAGAATTACTACCGGAACAGGGTTGGCGGCTGTCTTCAGGAGGAACAAATCATGTGCGGGTCAAACTGCAACGCTACGATACGCATCATGATGGAACAGAGTATTAAATGGCAGTCAACTCCCTACCTCAACTTCATCGACTTCGAAATGGCCTTTGATAGCGTCCACCGAGAAGTAATTTGACAGCTGCTGCTTCAACACTACGGTTTTAGTGTCACAAACCTTTATCAACCTCATTCAACAGCTATATGAAAAAGCCACATACCAAGTGATCCACAATGGAAAGCTCAAGGACGCCTTCGAAGTGAAGACAGGAGTAAGACAAGGCTGCCATCTACTATCACCGATCATTTTCCTGATTGTGGTCAACTGGATCATGCAGCAAACCCAGAAGAGCCAGAAGATGGACATACGCTGGCTGGAACGATGAAAAGAACCCAGAAGAAGATTTGGATTTCGCCAACTACTTTGATTTATGTCTAATATCGCACAGGCTCGAAGATCTACATGCAAAAACCAACAAGTTCATAGGAGAGGTGAGGTAGTAAAAACGGGACTTTGAGTGAACGTAGAGAAGACACAGGTGATGAAGATACCCAACCACCACCAGGAACAACAACAAGCATCAATCACCATCAATGGAAGAAATCTGAAGGAAGTTATCTCTTTTAGCTACCTACCACCTACTTAGACAGCATCATTTCAACTACAGGTGGCGGAGGCACGGATGAGGATCTCAAAGCCAGGATGGGAAAGAAACCAAGACATGCTTTCATTAATCTGAAATCAGTGTGGAGATCTAATGCACTGCACATAAAGCATAAAGCCTGAACAACATCCGGATTTTCAACACCAACGTCAAGTCAGTGCTCCTACATGGTTGAGAGTCTTGGCGCGTTACGAATAGCATTTCCAACAAACTACAGACAAACATCACATAAACAGCTGCCTCCACTCACTCGATACTGAAGATCAGATGGCGAGAATAATAGGAATAATCAACAAGGAACTCTGGGAACGAACCAACCAAGAACCTATCGGCCAACAAATATTCAGCAGGTGAAAGTGGAGATGGATTGGGTCTACACTGAGAAAACCATTCGGAGACATCACGCGCCAGTCCAGGCCGTCGAGTGGAACCCAAATGGGAAACGACGAGTTGAGCGTCCGAGGCAAAGGTGATATGGAGGCGATCATGTGAGGGAGAAATGAAAGGTTTTGGACAGTGGTGGAGCCAGGTTGAAAAGACTGGAGAGAAGAGAGTGAAATGTTCCACTAGGAACCCAAGGGACTAATAATAATAATAATAATAGGAATCATCCACTTATAATCTTTTTTCATGATTTGTGCTCCATTGAGACAATTCATTATTCTTTGTATTCTTTAGTAGTGACCTGCATCAATTCTAATGGGTAAATTAATGTCTGTTTAATACAACCAAGAAATTCGAAAGCTTAGATTACATGTTATGGTTAAATTCCACTCAATGGTTGACAGGATTGATCTGACTTATAACTATGGTTGATGTTGCTTCTTTATTTAGGACGACATTATTTTCCTTAGGATGCAGTAATTCAGAAACTTACCCCTTATATTATGCTTGTAAATGAAATAGTAATAATTAGAAATGAAGTGTAAAATAGGCATATAAATGAATGAGATAAGTAATAATCGCTTTATTAAGCAAGTGATAGCAGAGGTGAAACAGTAATTCATTTGATATTTAGAAGTTTATTTATCAGTTCTTCAGTTAAACTACTTTCTTCATTTTAGATACATGTTAAATAAGGCATTAAACTTGACTGAAGTTAACTCAGTAGGCTATAAGCAACACTCATTGTGTGAGGGTTGCCCAAGCGTCGCTAATTGGTGTGGGGTTTGAACCCGCAACTCATTGGTTGATAGTTATCTCCCTAAATCACTCAACCACAGTCCGACGTTTCTGTGTGTGTTTGTATGTGTTTGTGGATGGACTAACTCTAACTGAAGCAGATATTCAATATCTAATAAAAATAACTTCTCGACACTGTGCTCACTGTTGAAGCTAGGGGTGCATCATTTACTTTATTCTTGATCTTCAAAGTTCTAGCCAATAAAGATAAGAAAATGTATGGGTAAAATATAACAGTTAATAAACCATAAAAGTAAAGTTTGAATTATCTCCTAAACATACAGTTTTTCATACCCTTAGTCAAGCTGAAATTTTTATCGATATCAACAGGATGTGAGTAAAATCATGACATCAGAATAAGAGTTGAAATGGATGACATTCAATGTGTTTTCGTCATACAGGATGATCATTATCATACTGGTCAGTAGACTTCAGCGACTCGGACACGTTGGATTAACGTTTGAAACTGGCTAAAAATAAAAGTTTGGTATTTAAAAGAATCGAAGTAAAAAACAAAATGTTTAATGTAAGGTAAACATGTTTAACAAAAACTGTTTCAAACAAGCAGTGAATGTAGAAAAACAGGATGATGTATATTTTGCATGAAAAATAATAATGTCAATAAGCAATATTGATATTGAAGTGAAAATCGATTAGGCTGAAAATTGATTTATATTTAATCACCAGTTGACTGCTAAGTGTCTTACAGTTTTTTTTTTATCCCTAGTGAGGTCATGGGTGCGCACTGCTGAGGAGTCCGTACTAGTCGGACGAAACAGTTGTCCAGTGCTCCCAGGTTTCCAATGTTCCTCCAACTGATATCAGTTCATGATGAATTCCAACCTAGAATAAGGATATTGTTATTCTTAACTCTCATAAAAGAGAATGTGTATTGCACTTTTGAAGATACACAATATACTTTCTGAAGACTTCTTAACTCTTGACTCCTTGCATTGAAACCCAAATAATAAAATACAAAATCAGTAAAAATAGTTCTTCACGTCTAAGTTATATAGGTGTGTTAGAATGCACAATATATGGGAGCATCTTGAACTTATATCGTCAATGATAAATTCACTAGAACATAAAGTAGCTACGTGGTCATGTTGAATTCTCGAGGCAATGCTCAAACGTTTTGGAAAACATACAAACTTTCCATTTTGTTCTAGATATCGCCGATTTAATTAATTCTGATAAGCATCTAATCTCATTTGACAGTGTATCTTTTTTCATAAACTTGCCAGTTGACAAAACAACTGATTTTATATATAGCAAAGCCGATAATATCAGTATGCAAACAAACAAGTTCACGAAGCTTCTACTTATATGTTACTATGCATCGGGTTTATTTTAATTTTTTTCAGTAGAATGTAGACGGTCCATTTCTAAACAGTAAATCATTGAAGATATTTGTCAATGAATAATGACAACACATAATCGATATATATATATATATATATATATATATATATATCGCATACACTATCAGATTTCAAGATTTGTGAGAAGTTAAAGAGTGTAGCTTATTCAACTCCATAGAATAGATGAGATAACATCGGTACGTTGGCATATAAATGACTGTTCCACTCAATCCTGTAGTATTTTGACCCACTAACGTAATCAATATCACTCGATGATTGTTTATGGTAAAATGTTTCTACCATTTTATTGTTATCCTCAACACTTATTGGAAGATAGTCTGCCTGTGAAATGTTAGGTCTACGAAACTTTTATTCGAGTACCTCTCCCCTACATATGTAGAATTAGGTTTCTTCTAGTTAAAGATTTTCGGTAACCTCTATATTCACTCATTGTCTTTTGCGTTAGTATTATATAAGTAGTCTCAAAATCACATTGAGTCAACATTAAACACTTCTATAGCTTATACTTGTTTTACGTATATCCTTTTAGAGGCTTCTATGCTTATCGTTATGTTCTAAAGTTGATGCTGGTTGGAAAGAGCCAATAGATGATTGTTTTAGAACACCATACTTCAGGATACAGCTTTAGCATCAGTTAGTCCATTACAACTCCTGGAGATCATCCAAATTTACGGTTCCAGGTATCACTGAAAGTTGAAACTAGTTCCAATAAACTTGTAGTCTCCTTATTGTTTTTATACCATGTTGGCAGAGGCTAGATTAGATTGAAAGAGGGCTCAGGGTAGCCAGACCAAGACGTGACATCAGTGCATAAAGTCCCTGATCGTTGGTCTGACCCGTGTATGTAGGTATAAACTACCTGGTTACGGTCCTTGAGACGATAGGAATGAATCGCTAAGGACTCTTGGTGATATATCTATATCTTGAATATTTGCACTAACCATTCTCTTCAAAATGTTTACTCTCTACTTTGATATCACCCTTTTTCTATTCACCTGTTCTTTGTGTATTACTATGAGGTGTAACAACTTAAGCCGATACACGTGTGTGCGAAGTTCTACGTTGATTTTGTCTGTGTCAGTCAATGAGGGTCATGGACTTATGTAAACTACCTGTACAGATTACTTGAATCACTCTTGTTCATCAAGTGGTGAATTGCCCATCATACCCTAATAGTTATACAATTCTAATAGTCATAAGTAGTCCGTATGCTCCTGATTGGATGAAATGAACAAACTTTTTTCATTGTCTCATGCACCCGTACAAGTGCACTGATCAAATTAGTTATGTTATAGATTAAGCGTTTTGGATAATTTATTGATTACTTTATTGTAGAACTAAGTCGACTGGCTGTGTAAGGCGATGGATGAACTTGTCAATTTATATTCCTTACTAATCTTAGTGTTAACAACATACTGTACTTGACCGCCTACTATTTCATATAAAGCTAACTATTTATTCTCCTTATATGACATATTTTAATAGCCATAGACTAATAGTTTCATGGTTTTAAACTAGCCTATTTGGATACGGATTTATTTACTTTGATTTTGTCAAGTTTACATTTGATAAAATGTTTATGTATAAAAGTGCTGATCGTTATACGTATGTATATTACATAAACTCTACAACACTGCATCCAAAGTAATTTAATTGGTTTTTTAGTAAAATTCTCGCGAATATTACATACAATGTTCAATTAGTCTGGATTATTATTATAACGCCTGGAAAATGTTTTTAAACAGACGTGGATGTTGAAACTCAAGGCCTGTGGAGATTTAGTGACTTTTCGAATTGGTGTTCATCATGGATCCCTTGCGCGTTCATGGGTGCGCACTGCTATAGAGTACCATACTAGGACGAAACAGCTGTCCATGCTCTCAGGTTTCCAATGTTCCTCTAATTTATGTCAGTCAATCATGAATACCAACTTGAATGCAACTCGGATGCATTAAAATTTCATAATTTCTTTTGACTAGATTACTTTATAATAATTAAAGTGTATAACAGATAGTGAGACACAATTTGTGTAGTAAAATATAGAAGGGATTGTTTTTTGTCTAAATTTCCTGACTGTAATTATACTTTTCGCTTATTGTTGGTTTATAAGACAGTGGAAATCGCTTGTTCGATGATTTGTCAGAATTAATCACAATACCGTGAAATATGTTCACACTTCTTTATCTAAAGTATAATATGATTATTATTCTCCGTCTTCTCCTGATTCGTTTTGTTCTGTTTATCTCTTAGTTATGTTTTGTCATATACAGTAAATATTATGGTCGATAGACAGTATTATCCATCTTGACAGATTTATTTGAACTTGTTTCGAGAATGAATCGTGGATGTTTATACAGAAGACTAGAGCTTTAATTTAGTAAATTTAATTTTTAATCTGTGGAGTAGCCTTCGATGATCCTTTCTATAGTTATAAATGGTCATCGATTAGCAACATTCAGAAATGGTTATCAACTGGTGTTTTGATTCATAGTGGTTCGTATGTCAGTGGATGTTTTGCTTGCGTTTTGCATCTGTTAAATGCGATAGGATGCTTTATGATTGACCTGCAACTACTACCAGTTTAAGCAGGGGCATTGAAGTGGTTGAATGTTTCGACTTACGTGGGGAGTCACACCAGCCCGAATAGGTTGGTTCCTGAGGAAATTTCAGCGTACACTTGCCAACTTGCGTCACATCTGTCGCCGACTGGCACGATATCCGACTACCTATTAAAAGGATGAGTATGCTGCACTGCAATTCGTTCTGTCCTGTTATATACCTGTGAGACGTGGCCATCGAAAGTAGACTTCAAGAGACTACAGGCTTTTAGCCATAGAAGTCTTCTTTAGATCGCTAGCCTATGATAAAATCACCGTGAGTAATACTAAGGTCGGACAAACGAAACTAGGCAAATCAGTCGGTGAGGTTGTAAAACTACAGTGACTGAGATGGCTTGGACAAGTACTGCGTATATCGAACCACCGCCTGCCTTTGCGTCCAGTGCTAGCAGAAGTTGGGTTTGGTTTAAATCAGGTTCCGGATGACCAGAATAAGCATGGCATCAGTCTGTGAAGTCTCTGACTGTCGATCTTAGCCGTGTAGGCAGGTATAGACTATATGGTTAATAATGAATCCTAATTTTTTTAAATTCTAAATATATATCCTTTTTACAGGTACTCGAAATGCATCTGATTGGTGGTTATCATATTGGATACAAGATCGAAATTTATCTTCGTCTTTATCCTACAAAAGTGTATCTGACCAAGGAGATTTATTTCCCGTTCATTCCATAAACTACAAAGCCTTTTTTTCCGATTCAAAGCATGATGCGTCTCTGATTAGCTGTAATCCATCTATTACTGATATGCAGACAGCTGGAAGTGTGCACAATTCTACTTCTGCATATCATCTCCAGGTCTATGCATTCATTGTTACAAGTAATATAATTGCTACTGTATTCCGTGCTGTTGTATTTGCTTTCGGTGGTTTGATTGCAGCGGCAGTTGTTCATGAATCCGCCTTGGATACAATTTTAGAGGTTTGCGTCAATACTTTGTATTTTTATGTACTAAAGGTATACTACTCATAGTTAAGAAGTATAACTGATTCAACTTTTTCTTATAATCTGAGGAATAAAGTCGAAACAAAAACCTACATTCCTATAGGATTCTAGTCGCTTGTTCGGCATTCTACTAACTGAGTTACTTGACAGAGACCAAACCAAGGCTATTACAGACATGGTTATCGACTTTCCGATTAATACTGAATGATGATTGAAAGTGAAAGAAAAATCTGCGCCGCTGCAGGACTCGAACCAGCAACCTCTGCGTCGTAGCCAAAAAGTTCACTTCACTTCCAATCATCATCCAGTGCATCAATACAAGTGTGCCAGATCACCACTATCTCATGTAGTCAAACTGATAATCAACTTTTCTATGTTTAATCCCAACCTACCCTACTAAAGTATATTAAAAGTGTATCTGAAATTGACATTGTAAACCTAGAAGTCCTGCTGAATGACAGCACTACTGTGTAGTATTTATACCAACGTTCCACTTGCAATAGACCTATCCTGAAGTTGTTAGCATTTAACTTTTCCTGAAAGACAATATATCTGTGCTGCATGCGATATTATCGAGTGAATTTTGGTCACGTTTTATGCATCGATGTCAAGATTCAGAAAAAGTAGTTCATGTGTTAAATTATTCCACTTTGTATGGTGTTACTAGGCGATGGAATGTATGGGGATTTTTCGAAAGAGCATTATGAAATTTTGTACTCGAAAATGTGCCAAAATGTTGTATGATTTTCGATTTTTCAATTTTTCGCTCAAGAGTAATTCACTGCATACATATTCCATTTCGATTATTTGTTTTTCCAAGTAGAACAATTATCTGCTTTAAAGACTAAGATATAGTCGATAGCTTTAGAGTGATGTTTTACTAAATTAAAAGTTGGTGAGAAATCACCTTCAACAGTAAAGTAAGGCTACAAACTTTGCTGGTTGTAAAGCTATAGCTAATTTGTTTAAGAAGGTTACTTTCAACCAATAGGTCACAGGTTTGAACACCATCCCAACTATTCAGGTTTGGGCAATCAGGTAGTATCACTAGCCCTCACACAATAAATGTGACTCATTACCTAGTGCATGAATATGCATATGGTTGCTGAGTATATTTTGATTGGATTCTATTCTACCTGGTTAGTTATGCGACTGAAAGAAACCTGGACTCGATAGTTCTAATTAGTATAGAGTAGTATACTTGGTAGGTTGCAAGTGGTTCTAGGCTATATCAATCCATGAGACTGCAGTTCTCAGTTCCTTCAATAATTGATTGTTTACTGTAACATATTTTTCAACGTTACTAAGCGATATACTGCCCCTAAACCAAATACGTTGTTTTCTGTTGTTTTGTTGCTACTGATTGATTATCGGTTATGCAAAGCTCTCCTATCTTTACTGCAAAGAAACTGATGCCTTTTTTAAGCAAATAAAATGCTCAACTTTGAAAATATGTTTGATCAAAATGTGATAACCTTTCGTATCCCTTACTAAGTTGTAATTCAGCTCAACAATTCCTGCTTATCCAGACAGTCGTAATTTCTCATTTTGTATATCATTGAACTCTGTCATCTTTCCACCATACTGTAGAAAACGACAAAACGGAGATGAAGGAAGGAATGTTTATCATTGACATCTTGTGCAGTAGTCATCAAATATTGTACACCTACTATGACGGTCATTTGTATAATGTGTTTCGTTTCTTCTTCTGCTTCTATCCTGATTTACTTTTAATACGCCCACATTCTCTCTTGTCAGGATCTTTACCCATTCCTAGTAATTCCATATGATTTCTGCCACCCTCTCAACACATACTACTTATGTGCATTCTGGTCAACAAGGCCCACTACAATACTACACCGGCTGAAACAAAAGCATACAAAAAGCACATTTGTGTTTTAGTGTTCTTGTTTTATTTAACCAGCCTCTTTAACACATTATATATATATATATATATATATATATATATATATATATATATATATATATATATATATATAATAAAAGTATTTTCCATAATTGTAGGGACGATTGAATTACTTCGATACTACACCACAAGGTCGTATTCTAAATCGTTTTTCATCTGATGTCGGTACCGTAGATGATGCATTACCATTTCAATTAAATATACTGTTGGCGAGTTTAGCTGGATTATTGGGTGCATTATGTATTGTTTGCATATCACTGCCAACGTTAATTTTCTTTCTACTACCACTTGTATTCATCTTCTGGTCTATTCAAAGACAGTATCGTGGAGCTGCTAGAGATTTGAAGCGAATTTCAAGGTCAGTTTGTGAGTCGCATATTACGTGACTTTGTGACTCGTCATATTCCCTGGTATTTAAATTTTATTTACTGTCCACCTTAGAGACTTCACTCGTTTTGTGTAAAACTCTAAAGGTTTTATGGAGTTGACTTTCAGCCAATGGGGCAGCGGTGTGAACCCCACTCCAGTTACCGAGGTTTGTGATGTGGTAATAGAGAGAAATGACTAGTCTAGAGAGCGACCAATCAAAATGTACTTTATGTGATAACATCTACAGTTAGGCAGACAGACGACGGATCAGCCAATCAGTAGTATTACTTTAAACAGTGAACTATCTATATATTACCTGTATTTTCTTTTGTTTTGATGATTCGGTCATTCGACCCCAATACACGTTTCTACACGTCCATCGTGTCTTCTCCATTAATTAGTTAGGTCGGGAATCAACTAGAAATTTGTTGAATGTTAGTGGCTGACACTCGATATCTGTGCATCGTTAGTTGCTACAGCAGTTTTTGAATCATAAAAAAGTGTTTAGTATTTCTTCATCAAAATCTATTCCGCAACCTTGAGCACATTCATGTCAGTAAGCAGCACCTAATGCGTCAGGGCTCAAACCGTTATGATTTAGAAAACTGCTATATGCTATCGCCGCTAAAGATGTACAGATATCGAGTGTCAGCCACTAACATTCAACAAATTCCTAGTTGATTCCCGACCTAACTAATTAATGGAGAAGACACGATGGACGTGTAGAAACGTGTATTGGGGTCAAATGACCAAATGGTCAAAACAATATATATATATATAAATATATATATATATATATATATATATATATATATATGTATATATAGTTCACTGTTTAAAGTAATATTACTGACTGGCTGATCCACCGTCTGTTTGTCTAACTGTAGATGTTATCACATAAAGTACATTTCGAATGGTCGCTCTTCAGACTAGGCCTTTCTGTCTATCCCCATATCGCCTTCCTCTTTGGAAGAATGTTAATTGGGGTCAGACTGGTCCGCACTGTCTTTTTCTTTCATCTATCTGTCCGACGCAGAGGAAGTTTCACCTTGTTTACCGGGGGATCAGTAGTTTTCTCAATATTGTTTCGGCGGGCAGGTACATGAGCATAAAAGTCAGCTGTCAAGCCAAAAGATTTACCCACCGTTTGGGATTGAGATCTGCGGCGACATCTAGAGGATGACCTTTATACAAGCTGTTTTGTGTGCTGGCGACAAAAACTGTCTTTATGGCCCCCAGCATTACAGTCCCGGCATCGGTGGACAAGATTTGATGAAATGTCGGGCACCACGATTCCAGCAAGACAATGGGGGTGTCTTCTTCGAGGGTCGGTTGGTATTTCATGAGTTACTGAGCCGATAAACAGGCGAGATAAGGTCAGAGGCTGATACAGAGGAATAAGATGTCTGGCGAACTGTATGTACTTCAGAACCACCCTGGTATCTGGATTGGGCTAAACACGTATCATGCTGCAAGTTGCCCTATCGTTGATATTCCGCAGACATTTCATTCAATGTCTGGACTGTGGCGTCGAAAGTGCGATCACATGGGTTCTGCGGTGAAACCATGTTGCAGTATTGGTCGAGCCCATGTAAACCCAGCTTTCAAAGTAGGAGACATGCCTTCCAGGAATCATCTTGGCCAGCAAAATCCAGTTTAAAGTAGTCTTCGTAACGCCTGAACCAACTATCGAAAGTCTCATTGGCATCGGAATCGTAGTGGAATTCAGTGATGCTACTAGCCATGCCACCAACTGAAGGACCTATTAAAACTGACGTAGTAGGCGATGATTCGATACCGATTCAGTTTCGATGATTCTCATTTGTTGTTTGAGGAAATCGTCCAACTTCGAAGAATCCCATTCCGGTCGCCACGGTTATGATTCGAAAACTACTATGGCCACTAACGATGCACAGATATCGAGTGTCAACTACCAACATTCATCAAATCCCCAGTTAGTTCTCGACCCGACTAGTTAATGGGGAAGACACGATGGACGTGTAGTAACGTGTATTGGGGGTGGAAAAACCGAAGACAAGAACAATGGAAAATATATCTAATAAGTTTCTTTCACGAAAAGCCTTATAGACTTATTTGCCATTTCTTTATCTATTGATTAAGTCTTATTATTTTGTTTGTTTTTCCCTTCCATTCTCATTGTCTATTGAAAAGCATAGTTTTAGCATTTGAATCGCAGTCACATGAAATATTATTACTCACTTTTTCATGGACAATTGATATTGTTCTACTTCTTTTGATCTAAAACGTGTCCTAAAAGTCGTAACTGACCGAAATCATCTGCTTTCTCAGCTATCAAACTGGGATTATTTATTCTATCAGTTGGATCTTGCAAACCATAATTCCTTCTACAAACTCATTTTTGTAATATTAGTGATGGATAATGGTTAACTGTGATAAATATCTGACCAACCGATCATTGTGTAAAGTAATGAGTGTATGTTTATTTTAGAATATATTTTATTTTTCATTTTTGTCGTTACTGTTGTTGTTTTCGATGCCATGTTGCTATTTCATCTCTCTTTCTCTTCCTTTTTAGTATTGTTCGTTCACCCGTTTATGCACATTATACTGATAGTCTGTCTGGCCTAGCAGTAATACGTGGTCTTGGACAAGAAATTCGCTTTCGACAAATGACAGCCTCTAAATTAAATGATCAAATACGTGCTGAGTTAGCCAGCCTAGCTGCTGGGTCCTGGCTAAGTGTTAGATTGCAGTTAATTGGTACCGGTGTCATTGCTAGTGTAGTTGGTGTCTCTTTGGTTGGTCGACTGTTTAATTGGACACAGGTTAGTTGATATATTCTGCTTTTCTTTACGAATCTGAATCAAGCCATGCAAATAAGTTTCACAGGATATATTGTGCTATGTAGCATACTTCTCTGCAGTTGGCAGTTCAAAGTTGAAATAAAACAGCTAAATTAATGATGAATAGGGCTAGTCGTGGAGTTCAGGACGCGCTCTTCGTTGTCTTTGGGACTCGTCAGCCGTATGTACCTGCCTCCAAGTGGGCGATGTTGTTCCTACTAAGACTTGATCGCTTCAAATACTAGGGCGTTATCCACTAGGCCACCGAGTCATGATTCCCACCTCTTGCGCGATAGGTCTAGTTTTTCTAAATGGCGTTACTTGGGTTACCTCGCCTTTGATTGGAACGAATCGATCGGTCTCTCTTGGTATATGGGGTCCTACGCTGATCTATTGATATTGCCTATGTTTCAACTTTATGTTAATTATGGATCAAGGTATCCATGCAGGCGCCCATATGCCAACAGATACCGATTAATTCAGTCTAATAAACCACGGTATAACGGTATAACAACATTAAAATATACAATTGAATGTTGTAAGGCTGCATATAAGATCAGAACGTTAATTTCAAAAGTTGGGTAATAATCACTCATATAAGTTGACAAGAAGGTGATGACGAATGTAAAAATTTCCAAGATGAATTTCGATAAAATTCAGCTTACCACTGAAACACTTAAAGAGAAGATAAAAATCTCCATTTTCCTCACTTTGCTATGAGATTACTGGATCTTTTAAAAGCTGAAGTATTAGGCTTTAGCCTTTTGGCGAGGTAGCTTTTGTGAACCGGAACATGGTCAAATAAAACTGTCTATTATTAATTCCGAAAGTATTCTTGATGGCAGCATCATGTGGCATATCAAGCAAACAACAGGCAATTGAACTACCGAAAGCTAGAATTATCCGAACATCGGATGAGTCCCATTAGATAATAAAAAATGAACAAAAGACAATTCAGCGAAGACAATTTTTTTTGACGAATTATCTTTTTCAAAAGCTGTACATCGTAATCATAGTTCTAACAAAATATATATATCCATCAGTAGTTAATGGGTCAATAAAAAGTGATCAGAAACGACCAATAAAGTTACAAGGTGATAACGGCTAGAAGACCAACTCATGGTCATCAAAAATTGCTTGTAGGATTACAATAAATCAGCCAGTATGAATACTAGTCTGCCAAACTATGGCTATCTCAAATAATTAAATGATAATCAATATGATGCTCCTCCTCTCTAATTCAGCTAGATTTCGATTGGAATGAGAAGTCCTTACTAGGCAGCCAATGGGAACACGATCAAGCGATAGTAACGCGTCACGAATTCACATGGTAGTCGGGCAAAACTCTTGATGATTGGAGTGAAATAAAAATCTGGTCAGCAGTTGGACCTCGTAGCTCAGTTGGTAGAATATCGAATCAGAATCCCGGTGGTAGCTGGTTCGAATCTGGTCGCGGTCAAAAATTTCATTTCACCCTCAGTCATTACCCAGTATAAACATATAATCAATGAAAAAAAATATCTTAGGAAGATTACGACCAAGGCAAAATTAGAGATTGAATATATCTCTTTGAACCCAAAGAAGGCTGTCGTGGAACACAGGGACTAGAGTTAACCAAATGCTGTCTAAAGGACAGTGTAAAGCCACCAACAGCTCGATTCTTGAGCATTTGGTTAACTTTGATCACTGTGCTCCCCAGGTGTTTTCCTTCAAAGTCATTTATGAAGTGAAGTTAAACATTTCGAAGAGAGCACGTATTCGCCATCTCAACACAACAGAGGCTTTGGCAATCTAGTGGTTCAAGCCTGATCTTTGCATTCAAAAGCGATACATTCCGTCGCTAATTTTGCCCTGGTCGTAATCTCACTATAATCAATTTTTGATGACCTTGAGTTGACTTTCTAGACGTTATCACCTCCCACTAGCTACTGATTGGTATATTTTTTTGTTGTATGATTATGACGTCCATCTTTTCAAAAAGGATGATTCGTCGAAACGAAAATTTTCCTCGCTGAATTGTTTTTTTTACTAAATTTTCATAACATGTTTAAAAATAATGACTAGCGGTCTTTTGTCCATCCTTCTCATGTACCTACTTTCAGTAAGTGATAATAACTTGATAAATGCACCTGAAGAGAATGCAATCAAATGCAATAATATGCTGCGAAATTCATTCTTATTGTTCTATTCAAACACGTAAATTGATTATTCATTCAGATTTATTTATTCTCACAAACATTTTAAATCTCAAGTTATAGTACTATCTAAGCATTATTCAGTAGTATCAAATGTTTTATTTTTTACCTGAGGAAATGTAATACTTCGAATGTCTTCATAAAGTTACAAATTGCTCATATTACAAATGGGTTGTTGAAGATTTGTGAGTCACTAGAACTTTCTGTGACAAAGTTTTTATATCATATTTGTAAAAAATATAAATATGATGTAATGTGTAGCGTACTGAAAAGTTCTTTGAATTTAGAGCCAAATTAATCCACTTCATCACCAAAGTGCCATTCTCATTTCATATTTTAGGTTGCTGCTATTGGTCTGTCAACTACATATGCGCTGAATATTGCCGGTTTGATGACAAGCACAGTATATGATATGACTGAAACGGAGAAAAATCTTGTAGCTGTAGAACGTTGTCAAGAACTGACTGATGATACCCCAATTGAATATGATACTATATCAGTTAAACCTACGGTTAGTTATTTTCTACCAGTTTGGTTTTGTGTGAATTTTGCAAGCATATGTGTCAGATTATATACATTTATTGATTAGTGGTACTATAGTTCAGTAATCTATGAACTCCTTCTGGAGTACGTGTTTGGATAGCGATCATGCATTGGTCCGAGCACGTATATGTCTGCGTCTCAATGGACGTAGAAAAAATTTGGCCACAAAACCACTAAGAGTGCTGCTGGACAACGAAAACACCAAAGCTGTGTTCAGTGAGAAGTTGGCTAGGCAGTTATCGGAACAAAATACTGTCACTCATCCAGAAGAAGCTTGGTGCCATCTTCAGTCTGCTGTAAAAGCAGCACTGGAGACTGTAACCGACTCCAAAATAATGGCTAAAAAGAGCCAGTGGATATCAGCAGCTTCTTCCAAACTAATGGATGCACGTGAATGCATCCCTGCAGGCTCTGAGTACAATGAAGAGCGAGCGCAACTTAAAAATAGACTGACGAAAAGTCTGCGCAACGATCGTGAACAGTGGTGGGCAGCGAAGGCTAAAGAGATGGAAAAGGCAGTGGTGATCGGTAACAGTAGACGATTATTTAGACTTATTAAGGAAACTGGGGGAAAAGGTCGACAACAGTTAGTGAGACTATTGCGGAAAGGGACGGATCTGCGATTCACTCGCAGGGGAGACGACTGGAACGATGGGCAGAACACTTCGAGGAACAGTTTAACTGGCCTCCAGCCACCATTGCGTTGCCCACTATCCAGTCGGATCCTGAATGGAACATTGAGATAGGCCTCCCAACACTAACTGAAGTCGAGAAAGCGGTAGGTAGCCTGAAACGGGAAAGGGCAGCAGGACCAGACGGACTACCTGCTGAGGTATACAAGAATGGTGGTAGAATGCTCTTAGTCAGGTTAACGGAAGTGTTAGCCAGTATGTGGGAATCAAATACGATCCCCTCCGACTGGTCTAAGTCACTGATTATCCCAGTCTTCAAGAAAGGCGAGAAGTCCTCTTGTGATAACCACAGAGGAATCAGCCTGACAAACATAGTGTCTAAGATCCTAAGTTCTATAATTCTCCGACGCCTGAGTGGAGCTCGGGAACAGCAAGCCCGAGAAAACCAGGCAGGCTTTAGACCTGGCCGTGGATGTATCGACCAAATATTCACACTGCGCCAGGTCCTGGAACATAGGCATGCTTACAGACGCCCGACAATAGCTGTATTTCTCGACCTGAAGGCGGCATTTGACTCCGTTGATCGAGAAGTCTTATGGCAGTGTCTGTCACTGAAAGGCGTGCCTAGTAAGTACATCACCTTATTGAAAGCTCTCTACTCGAACACTTGTGGGCATGTTAGAGCCTATGGTGAGTTGTCCAGGGAGCTATACTCATCAAGTGGTGTCCGTCAAGGATGCCCACTATCCCCATTCTTATTTAATTTTATCATAGATATTCTTATGGAGGTTTCCCTCTCGTCACCTAATTACAAAGACGTTGACCCGATCACAGGTGAATTTTCCTTAGATCTAGAATATGCAGATGACATAGTCCTGTTAGGTGAAGACGCTGACAAGATGCAGAGTCTTCTGAACACTTTGAGTGGGAATTTGAGAATGTTTGGGATGCGATTTTCACCACCCAAATGCAAATTTTTGCTCCAGGACTGGTCTTCAGCGGTACCGCGGTTAACAATAGAGAGTGAAGTGGTTGAGTGTGTTGACCACTTCACTTACCTGGGAAGTAGGATCAACCCCGGTGGGTTAGTTGCCGATGAGATTTCTGCACGGATACAAAAGGCTCGATTGGCTTTTGCCAATTTGCGCCACCTATGGCGCCGCCGTGATATTCGTTTGTCTATTAAGGGTCGCGTGTACTGCACAGCAGTCCGCTCTGTTCTACTGTATGGCTGTGAAACATGGCCATTGAAAGTGGAAGACATGAGAAGGTTACAGGTATTTGACCACCGTTGCCTTCGTAGTATAGGACGTATTCCGTGGTGTCACCATGTGAGTAATGCAGAAGTTAGGTGTAGAGTTTTAGGGAGAAGAGGTAAGTCAGTCGACGAGGTTGTGAACCTTCATCGACTGAGATGGTTGGGACACGTACTACGTATGCCTAGTCACCGATTGCCTCGTCACACAATGTTGGCTGAGGTGGGTCCAGGCTGGAAAAAGGCCCGAGGTGGCCAGACTAAAACATGGCACCAATGTATGAAGTCTCTGACTGTTGGTTTAAGCCATGTAGGACGATGCAGACTAGGTGGTTGGGGTCCACGGGACAAGAGGAACCAGTGGTTGGAGACCCTAGGTGATATGGCTCAGAACCGAAGTCAGTGGCGCAGATGTATACACACATTATCCTCATCTTAACAACGCTATACCGAATCTCACTATTTTGTCACTCCTCTTTCCTTTCTTCTCGTACTTTATATTTCTTTTGACTGCATTCACTTATCTTCATCCTTCACCTCACTACCTTTTTACTTGATGTGCTGATATGAGGTGTGGCAACTCGGACCGTTACGCAGTAATGCCTGGTCCTATGTTGATAATGATGATGATGATGATGAATCTATGAACTCTTTTCACAATAATTGAATAGGTTGTGACTAGCGGTAAAACCCAGGGTGCTCATTTCGTCCTATTTGGGACTCGTCAGCTGGATTACAAGTTCCCATGCACTTTTACTCTATCTCTTTGTATTTTGGTTCGAGATACAAAAATACCCTTTGTTTTTGGAACTAGTATTGTGAATAAAACTCTTTGTTGACTGTTTTGAGCTTCACAATTACTGGCATCATTTTGGTTTGTAACAATTTTTTGTGTGTATTTTAATTTGGTTATCAGTGGCCAAGTTTTAAACTCAATCGACAGACTTCGATTAGTGTTGAATTCAAAGGATTGAATAGCCACATCGGTTACCCATCGTTGATCAATTCTTGTACATAATCCAGTTCTAAAGAGGGTCAATCGTCGTCTAAATAGCTAAGTGGTCAATTATCTGATTTCAGCATTGAGTGACGTCGGTTTAAATCACTGAGGGAATATCGATCTCCTCATGATTGCAGATGCGCCTTGCTGATGAGTGCCGACAGACACGAAACTGATATCTAGAGCTTCCTGCTAACTGACTCCTAACACCTGACAGTGCGACTGTTTTATTTCCGGGATGGCGTTGAACAAATCACCATAGTGCCTTATTTTTCCTTTTATATATATAGTATCTTAAGTTCTGTGTTCTATAGTCGGTTAGTTATAAGACCTATTCATAAAATTTGCGCTCAAGGCTTCACCATATCCATTCATATCGACTTACTTTCTCTCTATATATATATATATATATATATATATATATATATGCTGCAGTGAAATTGGATGTGATTTCCTTATTGCTTATCACAACTCATTCCACATATATGCATCTAATATTTTAATCATACTTTGGCACCAATTTTTGCACAAACACGATGCAACCGTCAACCAGTTTGGTAAAACCTGGATATCTTTTAAGATCTTTTACGAAACATCTAAATTTTCATTATCTGTTCCCAACCTTTAGTCTTGCAGATTGTAAAACCAGGTTGCTTTGTAAGACTACTTCTGAGCATTGTGATGTGACAATCTGTTTTGAGCTGTAATTAAAAGATATTAGCACTGTTATTATTATTATTATTATTATTATTATTATTAGTAGTAGTAGTAGTAGTAGTAGTAGTAGTAGTAGTAGCAGCGGCAGCAGCAGCAATAGTATCGCTGAAATATCATGCATTAGTGATGATTCTGTGATTTTTGGAAGGTAATCACCGTCGAAATTTGACCCCTTCCTCACTTACCAACGTACAAGCAGTCACATAGTACCATAAGTTCTGAGTCCATTTCGACATCCTCGTGTTTGCTCAACTATTATATATATATATATATATATATATATATATATATATATATATATATATATATATATATATATATATATATACGTATATACATATATCATGTAATCTACAGGTTAATGTGAACAGAAATCGAATTACCTATACTTAATATTGTTTGACTTAAATTTTACTTGGACATTTTTATCGCAATGGTTTAGCAACCATATTTGTTTTCAAAATTTAGAAAAGGCAAAAGTAATTTCTCATCTCTCTTATTCTCTGTACAATTTCAGATTAATTATTACTCATATGATGAGATGCTCTACTGCAGTATGAATTTTTTTTCTTGTAATTACATTTCTGAAGGCACCTCAACCTCGTTCTTCATCGCACAATCATCTTCGTTTACCAAAACAACGAAAAAGTGGTATCACTTATCCTATTGGATTACCTCTCAATTGGCCGGCATCTGGATCTGTTTACTTCAGTAATGTTTCGCTTACCTATCGACGCAACTATCAATCAGCTATTAAACAGTCATTCAAAGCTCTTGAAGATATCAATTTTACTATCAAAGCTGGTGAATTTGTAGGGATTGTTGGACGTACTGGATCTGGCAAAAGTAGCCTGATCAAAGTTTTAATGCGTCTGGTTGACCACCTTCCTGGACCGCATACAAACCAGTATATAGCTAATCAAATAGGATTTGTAGGAGCAACTGGCCAGGTACGTTTTCAAAATATAGAAATCGGACCTTGCTTCAATCGTTGTAATACTATCACTTACTTTGGGGTACCTTAATTCTCCTAGGTCAAAAGAAAAATGAATACTGACGCAGATGGAAACTTAGTACAGGTGTAGATCTTGGGCACTGTGATAGAAATTAATTCCATATTAGGTTTGCTTATTTGATTTATAACACAGAGTAAATTATTGCTCATAATCATATCAATGTTATCACACCACCTTCGACATTTGATTGTTATAGCTCTGTCACCTCTGCTTCTTTGTTTCTATTGCTAGTACAATTTTCTATACCTTTGGTATAGATGTTTTATTATTTATTATTATTATTATTATTTTTCCCTTGGGTTCCTAATGGAACATACGGCTTCAGTAGCATGTCCGCATTCCACTTTGTTCTCTGAAATCTTTTGAACCTGGCTCCACGACAGCCCACAAGCTCTCATTTCCTCCTCGCACGACCTCCTCCATGTCACCCTCGGCACCGATGCCCAACTCGTCGCTTCCCATCTGGGTTCCACTCGAGTAACTGGCCTGACGCGTAATGTCCCCAGTCGGCCTTCTCAGTGTATGCCCAATCCATCTCCACTTCCTTCCAGTGCATACTTGTTGAGTGATAGGTTCTTGCTTTATTGGTTCGTTGCCAGCCAGCCAGCCAGCCAGAGTACCTTGTTGCTTATTCTCATTATTCTGGCAATCCATCTGATCTGATCTTCAGTAAGGAGCCAGTGTAGGGGGCAGTTGTTGATGTGATGTATGTCTGTAGTTTGTTGGAAATCCCTTTCGTAACGCACCAAGTCTCTCAACCACCACATAGAAGCACTGACTTGACTGATGTTGGTGTTGAAAATCTGGATGTTGTTCCACATGCTGAGTGGAGTGCAGAAGATCTCCACACTGATTTCAGGCTAATGAACGAAGGCCTGTCTTGCTGTCTTTCCAATCCTGACTTTGACATCGTTGTCTGTGCCTGTGCCACCTGTAGTTGAAACAGTGTTGTCTAGGAGGTGGGTGAAGGAGGCTACTTCCTTTAAGTTTCTCATGTTCATGGTGATTGGAGCTTTCTATTGTTGGTGGTGTTGTTGTTTAGGTATTTTCATCACCTCTGTCTTCTCTATATTCACTTGAATTCCCGTCTTCGCTGCCTCTTGTGCCAACTTGTTAGTTTTCGCCTGTAGATCTTCCAGTTTGTGTGACATCAGACACAAGTCATCTTGGCGAAATCCAAGTCTTCTAAGTTCTTTTCCGCAGTCCAGCGTAACTTCCTCTTCTCGCTCCTCATAGTTTGTTGCATGATCCAGTCCACCACAATCAGGAATATCATGAGTGATAGTAGACAGCCTTGTTTTACTCCTGTCTTCACTTCAATAACATCACTGAGCTTCCCACTGTGAATTACTTGGCATGTGGCGTCTTCATATAGTTGTTGAATGAGGCTGATAAAGGCTTGCGGTATTCCGTAGTGTTGAAGCAGTTTCCAAATTACTTGTTGGTCGACGCTGTCAAAGGTATAGAAGTTGCGTCATCCCTATTACATGTGTTGCCTGTCGATTCGATGAACAAAGATTCAGTAATCAATCCTTCTCTCCACCTAATTATATTGGACTTTAGTACAACGGCTTTATGCCACCCTATTGTGTGGTTTTGTGTTAATGCATGCATTGCAATAGCCGAGTCACTTCCTAGATTATTGATTTTATTCGGGTCTGTCGTTCTATATTTAGCTAAATTCCTATGTTCGGCTATTCTACCTGACCCCGACCAGCTAGTGTGACCTATGTGCTTGACCTCACAGTCATTGTATGGAATTTGGTAGATTAGCTTATTTTGCTCAATTGGTTCTCTCGGATCCGTAAGCCAGCGACAAAGCTTATCTCTGAGTGAGTTAAATGCCACTCCTACGTAAAGTTTCTGATGTACTGTCCTTGTAGGATAACACAATGGAGGCTGTGAACCTCTTTCTACTCATATTGTCATTATTATTTGTACTCGTCTTACTGCTATCTTTTTGTCTCTTGTGTGTTCTTACGAATTTCTTAATAAACTGTAGAGGATTATTAATAACTATTGACGCTTCTTTTCGATACTTCAGTTCCTTATTTAGGTTCTTGCACTGACTAGTCAATTTTCTAGCCCTCTCATTTACACACTTGACTAAACCTTCCTTAACTGATATTAGATGAGATGACCTGAAGTCTAGATACCTGTTGGAATGTGTAAGTTTTCTGTAGACGGTAGTATCCAAATCACCGTCTGTCCTCCGTTTTATCCTGCAATCCAACATAAGTAATTCTCTTTGTTCATTTTCCACTTCATAAGTGAATTGGATTGCGCCTACTAATAAGTTTATATGTGTGAGGAAATTGTCGATATATTCCGATTTCATCACTGTAAATGTGTCATCCACACATTGCCACCATATTTTAGGTGGAGGACTAAACGTTTGTAGAGCCATGTTTTCCCAGCTATCCATAAATATATCTGCTAAGATTGGGGATATTGGTGATCCACTGCTACCCTTTCTGGTTGTCTGTATATTTTGTCCCGAAACTTGAAGACTTTGGAGGTCAGGCACAACTGTACGCCTTATATGATCTCATCAACCGATATCTTAGTTCTGTAAGTTCTGACTGTGTCCAGCGCCATTTTGATTGGTATTAGTATAAAGGCTTGTTACATCGAAACTAGCCATTTTTCATCCTCTTCTGTATGTAGGCCACTAAGCTTTAGTTTTAACTCGTAAGAGTTTACTAGTCTGGGACTTGAAAAGTTCCTAATAGGAAATAATATCGATGCTAGGCTGGAGTACTTCTGAAGTCAGCTATGAGTCTAATGGGATAACCTGGTTTATGAACCTTAATAGTGCCATAAATTCTGCTAGGAGGGAGAGAGATTGATTGCTGAAAGTTCAGCGAAAGCCACTAAAATTCATCTGAACAAACAGAATCTTTATTCAAAATTCGTAGATCCTAGTAAAATAATGGGTTTAGAAAATATGCTTAACCATAGCTATGCATGCAGTTAGCCACAACCACACAATAGGATGGGACAGGGTGGAAATTCTTAAAGCTAACATAGCAGGGTAGAGGGGGAAATCGATAACTGAATCTTTGTTTATCGAATCAACACCTAATACATGCAATAGGAATGACTCAGTACCTGTTCCGGATATATGAAAAATCCTGCCTTCCAAATCACAGAGCGAGCGAGGACTGTATAAAGGATGTCTTTAAGTTACGGAGTTATCTTGATCCGCCTATGGTCTTCAAATTATATCCGAAACGTAATCCACTAAACAACACTGTTCCACTGTGTGATACTTCTAACAAATCAACTGAAATGGCATAGCATTTTTACCATAGTACTCAAGTTTTACTCGTAGATTATTGCTTCTTGACCGATAGCTGCTACTTGAGTAGTGGTCGGGCTTGCATGTCACAATGACCCAACTAGCTATGCTGGTGGAACCCTTGTTCCCTCTAGGTCCTACCATATCAGAAAGGTCTGTTGGATAGTGGTAAGACGAAAAGCAGTTACCGTTGTCGTATAAACTACTACACTATGATGGGGATCTGAGGGTGAAGTCGTACTGTTGCTAGCTGGATGGGGTGTAGCAGTAGTAAGGTGTTTCCCTTGGATGACCAACAGTGCCATGTTGGTGCTGCCTTTTCAGTGGAAGAGGGGGGGGGGGTTGTAAAAAGTCGACCTAAAAAATAACACACTCCACATACCTCACGGTCTGCCGGGTCGGCGGTGTTGGTTCATTTGTCGTTTCTTTTCGACCAGCCGGCTCCAAAACAAGCATGCACAAAAGGCTACGTGTGACAGGCCTCAAGCAGACGTCCGACGGGCTCTGTGGTCACACAAATCTCTTTCAAGTACCTTAAGAAGAAATAGCCTTCCACGGTGTGGGCAGCCGGGAAGTGTCAACCTCTCTCATCATTACCTTCTAATCTTTCACTTCTCTCCATTAACGATACAACATCATCTTCAATTCCTCCCAGCTCTGCAGCCTTCGACAACAATCTGAGTCCACAGAACAGAATCCTTGGTCTCCTTAAACCACGCTCCAAATTGCACATTGGAGCCTTCAATGTCTGCACCCTTGGTCAAGTTGGTCAACAGGCTTCATTGAACAAAACTCTGGCAACTCGGGGCATGGATGTTTACTGTATTTGTAAAAACGCATACAGGACCCAAGTTCAGTTATTCACCTGACCTCTCCCAGCCAATCTGGTGTATCCGCAAAATTCACCCTGCGAGTTTCTGGAGATTCGATAGCTAGCTGTCGCAGTCTTGAAGGTGTAGGTATAGCATTAAGCACTAGGGCAGAAAACCCACTACTAGACTGGGTCCTAGTTGATAGTCGCTTCTGCGCTATCTGACTGAATGGCACAGTGAGAACTAAAAGGAATAGTGGGACTCGCTGTTGTCTCTTTGGAATCTCTGCTTACGCACCCACTGACTCTGTTCGGATGAAGTGAAGGACAAGTTCTACCGTAAACTGTCTAGCCTCCTCTAGAAAGCCAAACATCCGGAAGTGGTGGTTGTTGCAGGTGACTTCAATGCGCAGATGGGTAGACTGAATGGGGCAGAAAGGCACTTAGGTGTCACTTTCTGAGTCCCGGCTGAACGTACAGATAACGGTGGCCGCCGATTACAACTATGCTCAGATAACCGCCTATTTTTAGCCAGCACAGATTTCAGACATAAGAAAAGACACTGTCTGACGTGGCATCCACCGAGCTCAACGCAGCGATGGACATAGATACACCACGTTGCTGTTAGTCATCTGTGAGAGGATCGGTAGAAAACTATCGCTCCTTCTGGAGTATATGTTTGGATAGCGACCACGCGTTCGTCCGAGTGCGTATATGCCTATGTCTCAATGGACGTAGGAAACATTTGGCAACAAAGCCCTACGAGTACTGCTGGACTTCGAAAACACCAAAGTTGTGTTCAGTGAGACGCTGACTAGGCAATTATCGGAACAGAAGACTCATTCACCTAGAAGAAGCTTGACGAACATAGTGTCCAAGATCCTAGGTTCTACAATTCTTCGACGTCTGAGTGGAGCTCGGGAACAGCAAACCCGAGAAACCAGGGAAGCTTTAGACTCGGCCGTGGGTGTATCGACCAAATATTCACACTGCACCAGGTTTTGAAACACAGGTACGCTTACCGACTCCCGACATTAGCTGTATTTCTCGACTTGAAGGCGGCATTCGACACCGTTGATCGAGAAGTCTTATGGCAATGTCTCTCACTGAAAGGCGTGCCTAGTAAGTACATCACCTTATTGAAGGCTCTCTACTCGAACACTTGTGGGCATGCTAGAGCCTATGGTGAGATGTCCGGTGAGCTGTCCTCGTTGAGTGGTGTCCATCATGGCTGCCCATTCACTCCATTCTTATTTAATTTTATCATAGATATACTTATGGAGGTTTCCCTCTCGTCACCTGACTACACAGATGTTGACCTAATCGGTGGAGAATTTTCAGTAGACCTAGAATATGCAGATCCCATAGTCCTGTTAGGTGAAGACACTGACAAGATGCAGAGTCTTCTGAACACAGTGGCAATTTGAGAGTGTTTATGATGCGTTTCTCATCACCTAAATGTAAATTGTTGCTCCAGGATTGGTCTTCAACGGTCCCACAGCTAACAATAGAGAGTGAAGTGGTTGAGTGTGTCGACCACTTCGCTTACCTGGGAAATAGGATCATCCCTGGTGGCTCAGTGGCCGATGAAATCTCTGCACAGATACAAAAGGCTCGACTAGCCCTTGCCAACTTACGCCATCATGATATCCGATTGTTTATTAAGGGTCGTGTGTACTGCACCTGCGCGGCAGTCCAGTCTGTTTTACTGTACGGCTGTGAAACATGCCATTAAAGTGGAAGACATGAGAAGGTTGGCTTCAGGTGTTTGACCACCGTTGTCTTTGTAATATAGGCCGTATTCCGTGGTGTCACCACGTGAGTAACGCAGAAGTCAGGTGTAGAGTTTTAGGGAGAAGAGGTAAGCCAATTTACACGGCTTGAACCTTCATCGACTGAAATGGCTGCCTGGGACATGTGTTACGTGTGCCTAGTCGCCGTCTACCTTGTCACACAATGTTGAGCAAAGTAGGTTCAGGCTGGAAAAAGGCTCGAGGCGGCCAGACTAAAACATGACATCAATGTATGAAGTCTTGACTGTTGGTTTGAGCCATGTGGGGCGGTGCAGACTAGCGGTTTGGGTCCCAGGGACAATAGAAACCATTGGCTGGAGACTGACTGTAGGTGATATGACTCAAAACCTATGTCAGTGGTGCAGATGTATACACACATTGTCCTCATCTTAATGATGCTATACCGAATCTCACCATTTTCTCTTTCTCTCTTGTCGTACTTTATATTTCTTTTGACTGAATTTTCTTTTCTTCATCTTGCGCCTCACTGCCTTTCTACTTGATGTACTGATATGTGCCGTGGCAACTCTGACCGTTACGCAGTAATACCTGATCCTGTGTTGATTTGGATGGATGTTATTGCTTGACCAAATCATTGATTCTTCTTATTAATTAACGAATTACGCCAATTCATATTATCTTACTGTGCATAGTCATTCTGTTCTCCGATTATTGTCTTAGTTTCCCTAATTGATTATCCTTTTGAAATAATTCGTCCCATTTATGAATTTCGATAACGTAATTAAAAGACGTAGTTTATATGGAAAAAATGTGATGAAGTTGTGACATACAGTTTAAATAATCTAATCATATATTTAATTGTCAAAGCATCTTTTATGAAAAAGACAGTTGTGACAATAACAAATGGAATAATAAGCTGGGTGAGAAGGAAATAATAGTAAGTTTTGAATCCAACCTTGATGATAGGACAAGCTATTCGAATCCACTAGCAGAAGAATGTACGATGTCAGTGAGACAGTCTGTCAGGCGGGTGACATACTCTTTAATAATCTATAGAGATATATATAAGACCAACTAAACTAATTCTTAGTCAGTATACTAAATTGAACTGTCTGTAAAACTGTGAAAACCTTTGTTTTACTTTAATATATCAGATCTACTTGGCTTTATTAGAAAAATCTCTGCTTTTTGAGGTATGCCCTTTCCGAATTGAGGAGGTTCTGTAACTCTGTTGTCAATCGTCACTATATTCATAGAAATGCGCACATTTGGATATAATGTAGATCGCTTTTCAATAAGTGAAGCCATCCCAAAACGCCAGTCTCAGTAAATTTTCATATGCCATAGTTTTCTCTCTTTTATATTCGGCTAGTGGTATAAAAGTAACGATAGCCTCTTAATGGATTTATCTTATATATCTACTCCTTTTCTTACTATTCTATTACCATTCGCCTCTTCCTTTTCCTTTATTTCTTCATATTATTGGTATACCATTTCATGAAACTTGTTTGTTGATATCCTTCTTATTGCAAACTTTTTCTTTCAGAAATGATAACATTTCAGACCACTTAGCTTACCTAAAAATAATAATCTTAAATAAAGGTCAAAATTCAATGTGACAGAAATGGAATTACACACCTAGTTAAAATTTTATACTAAAAGTAATTCATCGACGAGTGGATATATATCATTTATATGTAATCCATATATATATATATATATATATATATATATATATATATATATATATATATATATACCTTCAGCATAATGTTTTACACTTCAGGTATTTGTCGATGGAGTGGACATTCGCACTATTCCTCTTGGTTTGCTGCGTTCTCAAATTCTAACTATTTGCCAAGAACCATTCCTTTTTTCTGGATGCTTGCGCGATAATTTGGATCCTGAAAAGTTTGTTCGCCTGAAGTTATTTGTTTATTTTTTTGAGCATATAATTAGCAACTTATTTAGCTAATCAGCATTTTTATAATTAATTTGGTTGTGAATAGGAATGGGATTTAGGACGCACGTTTCGTCTTATTTGGGACTCATTAGCTGGATACACCACAGTGAGTGGTATTGTTTCCACTAAGACTCGAACCTCGTACGCATAGCTTTAAATGCCAAAGCGTCATCCACTAAGACACGTTAGCTACCTCTTATACGATGGGTATTAGTCATATCATTATTTTTGATACTTGTAATCCTCCGCTGTTATGCTGGTTAAAACTGATCGACTTCTATTGGCATATGGGCTCCTATGCAGATGCCTCGATATTCCCTGAGTATTTATTGTAATAACTGACTTGATTGTACAATAGGTGGCTATCATGCCTCAGTGGCCTAGTGAATAATGCTTTAGAGTTTGAAGCGATAGTCGTGAGATTCAAGTTTCAGTGAGAACATCACTCACTGAGATGCTGTCATATCCACCTGATGAGTCCCAAATAGGAAGGAACGCGCGTCTTGAATTCTACTGGTAGCCATAACCAGGTCTATTATAACAATAAATATTCAACCAATATCGAGGCATCCACGTAGGAGCCGATATGCCAATAGACGTCGATCAGTTCTAAACAGCATAACAGCGGAGGATTACAAGTATCAGTTAATAATAATTATAAAAAGTAACAATCTGAACGAAGAATATTATTTTTCAATAAGTTCTCTTCGGGTCCTACAATTATAAAGTGCATTTTTACAGCTTAAAAACAAGCTATGTCGGGGGCAGGTACATCTTCAAAATGGAATGAGATCTAGAGGTTGTAAGCAGATGTATTTATCTTTTTTAATAAGTCAATATTAGGGTGATACATATACAGAAGAATGATATAATGGTGAACAAAAGGATAACGAATACGATGGCTGGAGTGGCCTTTAGTTTGCTAAAGTCCAAGGTAGAAGTAACGCTTGGATATGTTCTTTCTGAATGCAGAGTTCAGGCTTGATCAATCCTATTGTGACAGGCTCCGCTATGTTGAGCAGGCGTTGGCGAGCTACAGGTGATGTCGTTTTTGGAACACGATGAATGACACTAAAGGCTTTGTTGGCATCTGTGTGATACCCTGTGTCAACTAAATGCACATTTTTGCCAGATTTTTTTTTCATACTTGATAACTACATATGCCTTTTGTAGGGTCCTACGTTTTGACGCTTGTCGTGCTTTCTAACCGTTAGAAAGTAAACTTCAGCTTCTATGTACTACTGGCAAATAGAAATTTTTTTCTCGTAATCAATTTATACATAAACTGTAAAATTAACAAATTCATTCGTGTACAACATCAAAATCTTTTCAACTATCAGATGAAATAATTACAAAAGCTAAAACTCCCGAGTTGCTTGCATTGTTGAAAAGAATTAATGTTCCTTGCCCATTCAATATAGACTTTTGTACTGGGTTATAAGTTACACTTAACATGTAAACGCTAATGAAGTCATCCTGTTACGCATGCCGGAATAGGTGAAGTGGGATTGTAACCTTGAAATCGTTGTTCAGGAAGCAACACAAACATCGAATATTGTGCGACTTTTATACCATCTATGGGTGGTAAAATAAAGTGAATGAAAATGATTTAAAGTCATAAACCCTGTGCATATACTGAAAATTGATATTTTCTTGTTCATTTCATAAATTGAAGACACTTTTGGTGTTATGATAAAGTTTACTGACCTGCCTACTTATCAAGACTTTTAGCTACTAATTTCAAAGATTTCTGTATAGTATTTATAGATGTTTTTCTTCTGTTGTGAAAGCTTGAAGTAGTTACTAGGAGAAATCAATCAAGAAAGTATATCAAACCCTGGTAGCAGGTAGCCTTTGTTGTACAAGAGTTAGTTGTCACCAATCTTCTTCCTTCGGTATTTGAAATAATGAAGGATACCGAATAGTGAAATAGAATAACGTTACAATTTTTTTCATCGACTTCTGATCACTTTCACTTCGTTCAATCATTTTACATCGGTTGACTTAGTAACTTTTAAAAATCTTTGTTATGACCTACGCTATATTATTTCAGCAGTCAGAGATTACGCCAACTTGTCTCTTGTTTAAACTGTCAGCAATTGAGTTTGGTATCAGGCATAAGATGAAAGGGTTCTGAAGTCCAATGCGCTATCTATCAAATAAACAAATCTAATATGAAATTACATCCTACTATTGTACCCAAGTTTTACATTTATATTAATGAAGTTCTGTGCTCTTGACATTTACGCACTCACAATTATCTTCATGAATATTATTTGTCTTTCAAGTTTGTGAGCAACAACCACTGTACTGAAGAGAAATCTAAAACATGTTACTGTGTGAATTTTATGCAAGTAAACAGTAATACCCATGCTTCCTTCGTTCGACTAGATATTCTTTAAATTGTTTAGTTATGACGAAAAACAGCTTGATGTTTTTTATAGTGTGGCTAATATCTTGATTAGTTCTTATGACTTTCCTCAATGATATACATTACCCTAAACTAAACTACTGTAATAGTGTAGAGGCCGTTGCTTATCGGAATGGATATAGGTAGCATATATTAAGAGGGCGGCAGAAATCATAGGCAATTACCAGCAGTGGGTAAGGATTCTGCTACGAGAAATGCAAGAGACAATGCGGGCATATTAAGAGCAAATCAAGATAGAAGCGGAAGAGAAAATGAAGTGCATTGTGCAAATGACTGTCTTAGTGCAAGGTATATCATATTTGATGACTCCTGTACAAGATGTCAATAACAAACATTCCTTCCTTTATCCCTATCTTTTCGTTTCTTTCATATAGTAGCAGATTTTCGCCAATTTGTTGCCTGTCCCAAAATCTTTGACTGACTGAATAACTGGCAAAATCAACGTATAACCTGGTATAAAACTGCATCGGGGCAATTTTCTACGCTTCACAGTAGTAAACAAGGAACAGGTTGACAGAAAAATAGTGATTTCAAAGTAGGTTATGCAGTGTGAGAGAATAAACAGTCTGAAGATAGTGCAAATATTTAGGCTTTAAAAAAAGTCAAGGAGTGAATACATCTTCAATATTGTGACTGATTTTTAGCCATGTCACCGAGAGTCATCAACTACTCATTCCTTTTGTCTTGGGGTCTCCAACCTCTTCCCATATGACTCAGATCAACAGTAGGAGACTTCGTCGATTGGTGTCAGGTCTTTGTCTCGCCATCCTGAGTCTTCTTCCAACCTAATCCAAACTTCAACTAGCATGGTAGGTCAAGGAAGATGGTGGCTCAGCAAACACAGTAAATATTTTAGCCACCTCAGTCGACTGAGGTTTATAACCTTGTCAATCGACTTGCCTGGTTTCCCTAGTACCCTTTCCCTGACCTCAACATTACTCACGTGCTGATTCCACCATATGCGAGCGATGCTACGAAAACAACTATGGTCAAAACCCTGTAACCATTTCATGTCTTCTACTTTCAAAGGTCATGTCTCACAGCCGTGTGACATGGCAGAAAGAACTGCAGTGCAGTATACTTGTCCTTTGATAGATAGTTGAATATCTTGCCGGCGCCCAAGATCTTTACCTTATTTTGATCTCCTAAACTTCAATCATAGGGTTTTATTTACAGTAGTCATGCCTCTTGGTGAGTAAATGTAATATTCATCTGCGGCAACTTTCAAATGATGTCACCAAAACAACGCCTTCCGAGAAGTACAAACGTTTAGATGCCTCTTACTTAATACACCAAATACTTGTTATTTTCAGTAGGGTATTGTTCTATTTTGTCCAGTTTCTGATTCAATGGTACGCATATATATATATATATATATATATATATATATATATATATATATATATATATATATATGCTTTTCAGCGCTTTTCTTACTCCGTGTTTATTTATTTCCCTCAAAATTCATTCTGTTACTCCCCCCCCAAAAAAAATGCTAAAGTCATTTAGATGATTCCATTTTGGAAGAAGTCCTGCTAAAATGTCAACTGGCTGAAAATCGTTTACAAGCCTCTGAATGGTTAACGCGAAATGTTGGCGAGTCAGGACGTCATGTATCTGTTGGACAGCGACAGTTGATTTGTCTAGCCAGAGCGCTACTTCGTCAACCTCGACCGAAAATCATCTGTTTGGATGAAGCTACCGCCTCAGTAGATAACAAATGTGAAGAAATCATTCATGTAATTCTCACTTTATTTTGAGTATCTTTCCGGTTAATTAATGGTGTATATATACTAGAAGAAACTCAAACTAACTGTCGTTGACCATCTTACAGTTAGCATAAAAAAATTGGTGTAATGTGACCATGAGCTTCATCTATACACCCTGTTTTTATTTCAGGACTAGTTCAAAATTCAATGTTAAAAATTGCCTAAACTGTTCATGTGTAAGAATTCATTAGCGCGTACTTCAAAATGAACTGAAATTTGAAGAGTTTGACACAATACGTTTAAGAATGTGTTTGGACTAGCTCCAACGCTATCCAATGTTTTCAGCACCCGTGTATGCCTTTGTTTTAACATATGTATTCTGAATGTTTGTTTTGACAAATTTTTGTGTAAACTTACACTTAGTCATTTCTTGATCCATCCTTTGGTAAATTATGTATATTCATGTCGTGGTTTGACCTGAGTACTGCTATGTACTCCTTAGTACTTTCCTCGATCCAACACAGACATTTTCCAGATCAAAATGATGTGCTTAATAATGAAAGAGGCTATAGTAATATTATTTACTCGTTGTTGGACGTCCATGAAGTTACAGATGGAAAACACGTCTAGTTTGCGTATCATAATATTACTTGGTGTTTTTCAGTCTGTTTTGAAAACCTTGTTTGACTTTACCACTGCACTCTTCAGTTTCGTTGTTATAGTGTGGAGTAACATTAAAAAATCTTCATAAGAAGCCGTAGATCCCTGAAGCCTTTTACATCTGGTCGTGTTACACCGAAGTTTCGAGCGAAAGCACGTGAACCAATGTGTAAATATCAGATTGGTTGAAGTGACAAAAATTAATAGGATATTCAAATCGAGAAAGACCTGGGAATAGCCGAGGCCATTATGAATGTATATAAATCCTTGTATTTTGTATATATTTTTGAAGTTACTATATATATATATATATATATATATATTATTATATATATATATATAATATATATATATATGATGAGTTATTTATATTTATTTGTCCCTTGGGTTCCTAGTGGAACATAGGGCTTTCAGTAGCTCGTCTCCATTGCACTCTCTTCTCTCCAGTCTTTTCAACCTGGCTCCACGACTGCCCACAACCTTTCATTACTTCCTCACATGATCTCCATGTCACCCTCACCCCGATGCCCAACTCGTCGTTTCGCCTTTGACTTCCATTCGAAGGCGTGGCCTGGCGCGTGACGTCCCTAAATAGTCTCCTCAAGTTATGTCTAATTCATCGGCCAGAGTTCTTTGTTTGTCATTCTTTCTGGCCATCTGATCTTTAGTGTCAGTATCGAGTGAGCATAGGCGGCACCTGTTGATGTGATGTGTGTCTTCATTTTGTTGGAAATGCTTTTCGTAACACACCGCTAAGTCTCTCAACCATCACATAGACGCACCGACTTGACATTAGTGTTGAAAATCCGAATGTTGTTCACGTTTTATGCTGAGTGCAGTTGATCTCCATACTGGTTTCAGATTGATGAAGGCCTGTCTTGCTTTTCCGATGCTGGCTCTGACGTCCTCATCTCTGCCATCGCTGCCGCCTCTAGTTGAAACGATGCTGCCTAGGTACGTGAGAGAGACTACTTCCTCTAGTTTGTGCGACATTAGACACAAATCATCATCGTCGAAATCCAAATCTTCTTCTGGGGTCTTTTCATCGGTTCAGCCGGCGTATCCCCCTCTTCTCGCTCTTCACTGTTTGTTGTATGATCCAGTCCAGTCCAACACAGTTAGGCTGCATCTCCACTTTCTCCACATTCAGATGAAGTCAATCTGATTTTTAGTGTGTCCTGGTCTCTGATGAAATCAAATCCATGTCCTTTTGTGGATATCCTTGTGTTTGTACACACTGCCTTCAATCACCAAATCATTAAATGCGCAGTAGTGTGCAAAAAATTCTCCATTCTCGTTCATCATTTCACCGAGTGCTTCTCAACCCGTGATGCATGAGTTCTCTTCCTGTGTTGTCTACTCCCAGTTTCGCATTCATGTCACTCATTAGAATGAATTTTGATGTCGCAAACTGGAGTGGGGTCTTGTCGGTACTGATTGCAGTTGTCTGTAGATTTCCTCCTTCTTCTGTTGGTCTGCATTATTTGCAGTTGGGTAGTATTGGCATTGTATGATTGTGACTTTCCTTCCTTTCGAGTTGAATCCATCTTGCTGTCATGATCCTGATCGTGAAGGAGATTGGTTCCCACTGCATGAGAGACAGTGTTCGATGATGTTGGGGATATCATGATAGTCACTCGAAGACTCGGTGTGCTGGTGGTTGTCGTTTGGGTGACAATATCGGAATAGATTATTGATTCCTCTCCAGTTGACAGTTGGGAGAGTCCACTTCCATTCTACCTGCTTTCGCAGATTCGCAGCACTTCTATACTATACTTTCTCATCTCTTTTCCAATCTGGGAGCCTTGCTAGGTTCAAACATAGTGCGGACATTCCATGTCCCCATCCTTACTTCCGCTTTGATCGAGAGAGACAAGACATCGGCCAATTGGCTGCTCGAAGGCTTTCATCCACTAGCGTCATTTCGTCCCTCCGATTCTAGCGAGGAATAAGTTTGTTTTTATGTTTTATATTTTCTTTGTGCTTTGAAGTTTCTTTAGCGGTTGGATTGGTTTTGCGGGTAGGTTTGCTAGCCCTATGCCCAACCTTCCCTCTTTATCTGGACTTGCGACTGGCCAGGTGCCAGTAAACTAGTTATCTAGGCGAGGTTGCAGTGATGAGTATCAACTCGGAATGAATGAATATCCACAAACCTCTTGATTGAATTTCTCTCCGGTGCTGATTGTGGAATGGCTTCGAGATAAGATTTCCTGAAGCTCTAATGAGTTGTAACCGGTGGGGCAAACCAAGTTAGACGTGAGGAAGAATACTCAATGGTGACAGTGAATGAAGGTTGCTGTATATCACAAATTGACAGAAGTAGGAAACTGTGGATCATTGCATCCCAACATAGTGCCTCAATGGAAACATGCTCGCCATGAAAACTAAGAGCCTTGGGTTCGATTCCTGGCTGGGTCGTGGTTACACACGACTGAGTCCCATAGTGGGAGGATGGAGCTGCCCAGTGTTCCCAGGTTTCCAATATTTCTGCAATTGTCAACCCGTGATAAATACCGACTTGAAATCCAATATTTTATTGACGAATTTTACGTTCTCAAAACACTGACTATACAAGTCATCGATTTAGTAGTCTTCGTATGTGTTTCCGATTTTAGCTTTGTCATTAACACGAGGTTGGTTTCAAATATTTTCTTCACATTACGGCATAATGTATTCTGCCTGCATATTTGTATTCCATCTGTCTGTGTGAATAGATTTTCAAAGAATTAAGTCAACTAATCAGTCAGTATCAATATAAGACCTGAAATGACAAACATGTTGTGATACAGATATATAAACACTGTTGTGTTATTTTTTTCGAAAAAAGTTTTTATCATTGATTGGAAGTGTATCATTTACATTGACTAGTGTTAATCATGAACTATGAAATAGATATGACCGGGACCTTAATCAGTCACTGTAGGGTAACAACTTCATGTTGTTTAGTCCTAAGTGCAGATAGGATTCAATCGATTATTTTACAATATGACCACCAAACTAGGCAGCTCAGCATCACAATGCACTGTGATAGATGTTGGTTGGATGGAGGCAATCGATAGTAAGTCCTGGACCTAGGTTCCGTGCTTGTTGGCACTCGTCAACATGGTGTTCGCAACCTTGACGGAACTGATGTCCCGCCCGAGATTCGAACCCGTGTCACCTAGTGTTGCAGTCAACGACGTTACCGTTGAGTTATTCCAACCTGTGAAACTCGGTTAGTTGCATTGACTGATTATTGGAGGTTAACCAGTTTCATGTAGTTAGTCCTAAGTCCTGATCGAAATCTATCGATCATTATCCAATGTACCCACTACGCTAGGAGGCTCACCATCGCGATCCACTGAGATAGATGACCGGTGTATATGCTTTTGTACAGTCTCAGGGAGCTTTTCCTGGGAAAGCGCACACAAATCTCAAGACCTTAAGTTCTGTTCATCTTTCATCAAACAAATTATTTCCAGTAAACGACTGTCATCGAATTGTGTTTCAGTAATTTACTGCTCGCCTTCAAACCGAAATATATGATTTTCTCACTAGTACACGTGGTACAGTATATAATTTGTAATAATTTTTCTTTGCGTTAATTAGTATTACATTGCAATTTACTTCTCTACTTGACTTCTTCCCATCATACATAACCAGCAAATTCTAGAGCAAGAATTTCAAGGAGCTACTGTCTTACTCATAGCCCACCGACTTTCTTCAGTTCGCCGACTTTGCTCACGTGTTATAGTTATGCAGTCTGGAAGGATAATTGCAGATGGTCCGCCAGAAGAAACACTGTCTTCAGTATTTAAACACACTAAAACTGTAGATCTGATCAAATTATAAATAATGCTGTTACTTTCATATATCTGATTTGTTAACTGAGTATCTGATTTAATACTTTTTTCCTGTTTTATTCTCCTAATTATAGTGCGTTTTTTTGAATGGATTGCATTTAGTATCCAGAAACAGATTTGCTTGTTATACCTATCATTACTCTATTTTAACAGTACGCTTGTCACTTTATTGACATAACGATCAATAATGACTATTTTAGCGTGGTAGTTGGGCTTGCATAATACAACCTAACGAGCTACAACGTTTGGAATACTTTTTCCCTGAGTTTCTACCATGTCAGGAATGTTTGTTTTGTAGCTGTACGACAAAAACAGTTACCGTCATAATAATGGGAGTCCAAAGGCAAAGTCATACTGCTGGCAAGATAGAATGCGATAGCAGTAGGGATTTCCCCACGTACGACTACCAAAACCATATCGATGTTGCCTCCTACATAGGAAACAGGGCTAGAAAATATCGGCCTCAAAAACAGCACATATCCCTCTGTCCTACAGTATCCCAGTGCAGGTGGTATAGGCTTTTCTTCTTCAGTATTAGCGCAAATAAATCTCAGTCCAACAATCATAGAAAGTATATTGAAAATTTCCATTTAGATATTGATTGAGCGCTCAATCAGTCTTTTTCTAAATCGTAGAAAAACAATGTGTAACTGGCATCAATTAGATATCTCGTGGTCTCTGTGGTCATGTAAACCTAATCCTTTTTCTCTTTCAGGTATCTTGCAGAAGTTATTGACTAGTCAGTTTAGAGACATACCTCAATCACCATTATCAACAGTCAGATGCTCAGATCTTGACAGCATAGTGGGATCAATAATTAAACACCAGATTTATATCAGTTCGTTGTCAAGTAATTTGTGTAGTTGTAGAGCTATCTTTACTCTACATATCGGCTGACCTGAGCAAATGACTATACGGGTTTTTTTCAGTAAACCGGTCCAGGTTACCTCAGAATTTTCATCACTTGTGAAGAATAAAAAAGCTACTTTATTTATTACCTTAACTGATCAGTAATAAAGATAGTGGTACATTTAGCATTTCTGATCAAAATTTAAGGAAATGCATTACATCCGGTGTTGAAAAAGTATACCGTTTTTTCGAAGGTTAACAGTTACGGTGATAAATTATCAATAGTATAGCATGTAAGGAAAAAGGATGAAGCAATTAGGTGTGTCCATCAATCCATCTATTTGAGCAGCTACAACAACCATGGTAAGCTGATGGTCACTAAGATGTTAATGTCAGAAGAGAAATGCCGACTTGAATCTTACAATTCATACCATGTGTTTTAAATGTTAGTTGAGGAACTGTTGCTCATTGTCTAGGCACTTGGTTTCCAATTAATTTGTCACGGGTTTGAACCTACCTCCACCTGCCGCGGCTTCGATAGCGAAGTGGTACAATTAGCCCTCACACAGATGTGGCTCATTATCTGCTGCGTGAATGTTTACAAGGTTGCTGAGTGGATTTCAATTCAACATGCTAGTTATGCAAAAACCTATCAGAGGACTAGTAAACTATATGCTAGTGCCCTTTGTGCAATTTAACTGGTTTGGAGTTTGACTGTTGAATATAAAGATGACACAACACTACACCCAACAACGATCACTTCAAAGCATTACTGCTGTAATGACGTAAACATTGAATAACCACTGTTAAGGTTGGATGTCGGATTTTAAGTGAGAAGGGTGGTTCATTTCAAAAATCAGATGGTATAACTAGGATACGGGTTTTAGCCTGTTCACTGCTTGTATCAGTATGTCATGTTAGTTGAATTGGGTTAGTAGAAGGTTGAAGTAGTCGTTTCACTACAAGGTATCATTTCATGAAAGCCACGTAGATAACTATAATCTTTCTGACTATAGTTCTTGAGATACTGAATAATACTGTATCACTCATTGTATGGTGTATCAGATATAATATGAGATTACATTGTATCACAGAGCCCAAGTTCTACTTTTATACTGTAGATATAGCTGGAAACCTATGAAGGTCGAGAAATTTCCGCCTAGTTCGCTGATGTCGTTGCAGTCCAACGAACCATAAGTATAAATGTCGAAGAAACATCGTCTACCCTGTCGGTTACTTCCTACTCTAACTAAACTTCTTAACCTGATGTCAGACAGATGATTGTTAATGAGTACCTAGCTGACCCCATCGTAGCATCGGTTCTGGCACTTACTGTGACAGCCACACTGGTTGTCTATGCCACAGTATCTGAACAAGTATATAGTGAACACACGTTTTGAACTGATGGTCAGTTGTTCGAAGCACTTAACTAGAATCTTGTGTGCGGATATTTGAGATACGGCGCACATCAGTATTGTAGGTATACACAGTCCTAGTGAAGCCCCCTGTAATCTGATAGGCGCCAAGTTCTGGACGTTGAAGGTACCCAGCCTAAACAGTACACACGGTTTCTGAACAGTTGTGTGAGATATTGCACTGAAAAATGGCTTAATGGAAGCAACCGCCCAGCGACTTAAGACGATACAAAAGTTGAGCGAAATGAAGCCACACCTGATAAAAAATGCAGTCCGCACCTAGTGACAATAACAAGTGTGTTGACAATAAATGTGATAGTTGAGTACGACATTTGTGACACAAACTTGATTAGTTGCAAGGTTAGGCGAATACCCTGAAATCTTCACTATAAAACGTTTCACCATTTTGTGAGGTCCAACCTACTCCCAAGGTGTCTACAGTGAAGCATGATGAAGTTCTAGTGAGAAGCCATGTCCTACGGGGTCAGCCAAGTCGCATATGAGGACAAATATTGGCACTAGATGATAGTCGCACTGTATCGCGAATTGACAGAAATGGATCCAAACCCAGGAGCTGAATAGTAACGTACCGCGGGACTTGGTCCGATCCTTGGTTGTGTCGTGGATACGCACTGCTGAGGAATCCCATGCTAGGATGGAATAGCTATCTAGTATTTCCATGTTTTTGGTGGTCCTCTAATGATGTCAGTCCGAGGTGCATATCACTCTGAAAACACTATGATAGCTTTGAAAGTTTACATTTATCTATGCATCAATAATGACAATTTACAGAAGGTATTGTTCATAAAGACTTGCTACGGAACAAATAGATACTATTATTTCCTCCATTAAATATAAATATGACTGGTAACATTTTGGTTAAATGTTAGATCGAGAATTGAACGACCTGAGCTTTAGTGAACAATTTATCTTGGCCACTTATGATCCATTTAGTAATGGTTATCAGAGGGAAGCGTGCTTGAAATTCTAATACGTCCGAACCCACTTATAACTCAGTGTATAAACAGGGTTGCTGAATCACTTTAAGAAATGGTCATCAATGCTTTTTGTCCAGAGTTCATGCAGACACAAATTATCCCACTTCAAAAAGTAACATTCAATCAGACATTTTAAGTAGCCACAAACATTTTTTTCCAGAATCGAACTGCTTAAATACATTGATAGAAAGCGGCTAAATTGGAAATCAGCATTTTAAGTCATTGACCGATAGAATGGAAATTTCTGAGCTGCTGTGCACTTAGAAGAAATCTTACTGGGCAATTTTGTAGTACAGTGAGCAAATCAGGTCGAGTTATTTTATTTTGACTTAGTTCATTCTTATGTTTTCAATATCTATACATATATTATAAGGTTTTTGTTGAAATAAAGTCGTCCTTACAGTAACAGGCCAGTGTTTCGTGGTTCAGTAGACAGTCGTTAGCGTATTCAGTTCGAGTGTTCTATTGAGTTCAATATCGTTATCACAGAGTCTTGTTACACTCAGTCACTTCACATAATAACGTCTAACTCTATCTAGTAAATAAAAAACTTTAGATCTAACCCAACTATTGTATACCTCTATAAATTGTCATAAAACCACTAACTTGAACTAGAACAAAATAGTGCATATTCGTTTTACAGTTGAGATACTTGTTTACAATCAATGAAAACAATCCTAGTATCATCAAACTGAAAGGCATTTAAATTAGAGACACTTATTTTACAAAGTCGTCAGGACAATTAACATTTTGACAGGAATTAAATGCAGAATGTTCTGACAATTCCATTATTGTAGACATTCAAAATTGCTCAGTTTTTTCATGACGTCTTAGCATATGTTGAACACAAAGAACTTCATTACAGCCAATGAACTTTATATTCCTGACAGTCTAGTTCTCACAACTAATAATTCACAGATAATAGAAACGAAAAGAAAATCCTATTCGAAATGGTTGCAGGCTATGAGAAAAACTGCAAAACGAATGAACAAATCACAGAATAGTATCTTTTTTAACAAGTGTACAAAAGAAATAACTCTGTCTTTCTTGATGTACTGATCAATTGTCACAAAGATGCATCAACAAAACGATGTGTCTATAGGAAGCCTATATGGATAGGACAGGACTTAAATTAACAGTTTCTCCCCGGCTCAACGAAAATGCACAGTCCATGTGTTAGAAGAACAGATAAGATTATTGATGGAGAAAGCCATTGAAAACAACTACCTAATTAAATTTATAAGTCAGTATAAAGTAGACAAAATACTTAGTCCGAAAGAAAGATGTATCCACATCCACCGTACACTAGTGAAGCAAATAGCTTGGCAGTCAGACAGAAAATTAACACTTCCATCAAGAAAGCATATTATGCAGCTAAGGTTCAGATAACTGAAAATTCGAAGCTCTTGGAACAGATGACTGATGACGTCACATCCCCTGTGTTTACCAATTTAAATGTACGTATGGTCACATATACATAGGGAGGAATCACTGGAAATAAGGGTCATGAAAAACATTCCAAAGTAGCGTCAGAAATAAATGGAGTCATCTGACTCAATTACTGCGACGAAGCTTCCTAGTTCCCCAGTCGATAGACATTATTGAAATAAAGTAATTATAGAGTCTCGAGTGCGTCCCTGACTGCTATATTATTCACAAAGTAGTTGACACATAATCGACCAATAAACCAGATATTAAGGAAGGGATAGCTACTAGTTGCATTTTGTTAAAAATACAGACATTGCTGAGACTTACACTTTGGCAAGGGCATTAGCAGCCTTAGCGAATTACTCCTAAGTAACTTTTTAAATAACACACAGAAATGAAGAAATACGTGATTATAATGCGTAGAAATTATATCGTTGACGCCTTTCTTTCGTATGCATATTCACATCTCTTAATAACCAAAGGATTACAGGCGAAATAATTGCTGAGATCCTACAATCAAGTCAGTAGTTGTAGCTACAAGAAAAGGACTTTTAAAGGTTAGGAAATTTGACAGCACCTTATTCCTAATAAATATGCTTTTTAAACTTTAATATACACACATATCACAAGAGAGTTGAGATTATTTGCAAAATAAGCATTAACCCATGGAAATCTCATTTAGAAAGAGAATGACCTATACAGAAGGATACAGTAGGCCTGTTCGGCATTCGCTAACTTGCGTCATTTTTAGCGCGGACTGGTGAGATTGACTATCTATCAAAGGACAGGTATACTACACTGCATTATGTTTAATCCTATTGTATGGCCGTGAGATATGACCGTTGAAGTAGAAAACATGGATAGTTACAGGGTTTTGATCATAGGTATCTTCGTAGCATTGCTCGTATTTGATGGATCACATGTGAGCAATCTTCAGGTCAGGCGAAGGGTACTAGGCAAGCCAATTAATGAGGTTGTGAACTCCATCGACTAAAATGGCTTGGACATGTGTTGCGCAAGCCGAGCCACCACCTAGCTCGACGTGCAGCGATAGCAGTTGCATTAGGTTGGAAGAGGGTTCAATGTGGCCAGACCAAGACCAGTGCATGTATGCGGATTAGTCACCGTATGGTAGCCAACGCAGCTTTCAAACCACAGCCCTCGATACTGGCCAAATCCTATCTATCAGAATGCCATTTATAGGCCTGAAATGAATAGAAATATTTGTAATTTCTGATGTGTCTAGTTATTTGATTCCTTTCGCTTCACCCTATTTTAACATCTGATAAGTAATACGAAGATGCCATGGTGTATGCTACTGACAAAAGTGCTTTTGATAAATATACAGTGTAGCGCCTTCGGTGATAGTCGTATAAGTAGATGACCGCCTGGCGAATATTCTAGAGAGTGGATTGGTTAGAAATATAGAAAGCAAAAAAATGAAGCAGAATGAAAAAGCAGTTGGAAGACGAATAATCTGCGCAAAAAGTACATTCACCATCAAGGTTGTAATACTTTACTGATGGTGACCCCAATTCCCCTAGCAAATAAACTCTCACTATGCTTTCTATTATCATTCTCGTCATTTGACGTCCTTGACTTTGAAACGGATGAAGATAATGCGGTCTGTAGCGTACGCGGACAGAGAAATCGAAAGATCATGAAGCCGCCGGGTATCGTGATCACAAAGGTCAAGGTTGTGGTGTTTGAGAAGTTGCTGTAAAATCTGACGAAGGAAACCTTAGTGAAACTGTTAGAAACAGGGTTCGAGAGTCTCGTGGACAGCATTTTCAGAGTATGAGGTTGAGACATATGGGTGTTGGTGCTGCCGTCAACCAATCTGTCTGACAGCACTTCCCAACTTCGATGGAGAGCATCAGGCGCAGTTTTTAGTGTTGCATTTCGTAGGAAGTATTCGAAATCCCACTACTCAGCATTTACACCTAGTCAACGCAGCGTAGTATATGGATATTCGTGAGCTAGGAAAAGTAACCAGAGGTCCACTAAAAACTACATAGACACATTCAGTTGCATACACAATGATATACGACCAAGAATATAGATATTTATCCTTTCCAAGTAGTTTATTACATAGGAAACACTGACATCAAAACATATTAATCAATTGAAACATTGTCCATGGTGCAAAACCATCAATTCTATCCAGTGCAAAGCTCAAAAGAAGATAAGTGAACTGATCAGTATTAAGTGTGGGTGCATGTTGAAATCAGTCCCACGTGGTGGTAATCAAACATACTTTACACATCTCTCACAATTTTAGCTTTATTGTATTAACTATCGTATTGTTTTACTAAAAATGGCCGGATTGTAAGGAGGAATGACTACGTTTAATGAACCGATTGCTGTAAAATATCTCGTTCAATATCCGCTACTTGCAGTGCCCAGAAGATATTCACTTAATCATCAAGAGCTGGTATTCAAGTAAAACGGTCACATTACTCTAGAATAAGGCTGCGAAAGTAGACGAAAGAGAGAGAACCACTTCTTGATCTTTTGTGATCAGTTTTGAAGTCATAGACTTCTAGAGAGAAAAAGTAGACCATTTCATATAGCGATGATGTTGGCTGATTAGAAAACCAAGTCATCATTTAATTCGATAAGTGACTTTGGTTGATGTAAACAAAGTGGAATGAAGCATGCAGACGACTTTAAGCTTTGTTACGAAAACAAAAGTGATGTCATAAATTGGTCGCTTAAAGATTTTTGTCAATTGGTGTCAAACCACTCACAAATGTGAGCTATTTTGAAGTAGGAACTTGAACCTTCAGACTTATTAGCATGATTCAGTATTGTTGTCAGAAACGTTCGCTGTTTCAAACTTAATTTATTAACGCTTTATTCTATTATCTTGTAAAAGTAGGTCTATATGAAGATCATGATTTTGAGCAGAGAAACGATCAACTTTTGTCAGATTCAAAAATTAAGCCTGACTAGTAATGATGGATAGCAGCTAACAGTGGAATCCAGAAAACGCATTTCATCTTATTGAGACTGGTTAGCTGCATGTACCTGCTTCCCAGTGAATGATGTTATTCCCACTAAGACTTGAACCCAGAGTTGATCGCCTCAAAAGCCAGAACACTACCCATTAGGCCACTGAATCACAATAGCTATTCCTTGTGCTGCGATGATGAGTAACACTCTAGCGTTTGAAACAACCGGTCCTGGGTCCGAGTCTCAGTGGAAGGTAGGTCCGTCCAGCTGACGAGTCCCTAACGGAACTAAACATGCATTCTAGATTCAGGTACTAGCTACTATCCGTCGTTACTATTAAATTGTAATTACTGGAAGTATCAAGGCATCTGTACAGCACCCCTTATACCAATGATGGCTGATCGATTCGGTTTAATCAACGACGGGAAATTACAAGCAATAACACACTAAGCCTGCGGTTAGTTAACGAAAGAGACTGCACGGCCACGTAGATTACACAACTAATTGACTTTTAGGCTAATATTAAAAACTTTGCATAATGTATGTAACGAAAACAGCTGATATAAACAGATAAATACGTTGGAAAAATGCTGGCAAATAAATGGAAGGAGGATAATATACAATGAAAGGAAGTACACATAAAGGAATAAAATATTTAGTTATCGCTAGTCCATATCTTAATTGTTTTATCGCCTTCTAATGATCCTGATGCAATCACATTCATTTGAGGATGACAAGCAGTACACAAAACAACATCTGTACAAAAGAAAAAATAAGGTTATAATAAAAGAGAGCAAAAACAAACCATTATGCCCAGAAAGCTTTTGTACAATTTCTTTCGTCTGTAAATTCCATAAATAGATACAATTATCTTCAGATCCGGAGACAACCCACTATTGAAAGCAATAAAGGATAGAGTAAAAACTGTAGAACATACCTTCCCACCAGTAACTGAAAAGTTGGCGAATATGCAATACTTTTCATTTTTATGTCCCCATAGGTTTTAAACATCTACCTTTTGTGTAATCCCATAATTTCAGACAACTATATTTATAGATAATATTATTATTCATTTATATTATGTATACTGGTAAACTGAATTACCTGTCAAGTGTAGCAGCTAAAATATACTTGCCATTAGGTGAAAATTTAACAAATGAAACAGGAGGATTATCATCATCTAAAAATTAATTGATCAAATGATTTATTACCAATTAGAGTTTTTAAGCATTGACCAGATCCAGTATCCCAAATTCGACTGAAATTAAAATCATCAAGAAAATTAAACTTCAATCACTCACCATAATCCATCATAACTACTAGAGGCTATAAGTGAACCATCTCGATTAAAGTTAACCTAAATATAAATGTAGAGAAGAAAGAGGTGATGAAGATACCCAACCAACAATAACAACAAGCACCAATCACCATGAATGGGAGAAACCTAAAGGAAGTAGTCTCTCTCACCTACCTGCCACCTACCTAGACAACATCGTTTTAACTACAGGTGGCAGAGGTGACACAGATGAGGACATCAAAGTCAGGATCGGAAAGACAGCAAGACAGACCTTCATCAATCTGAAACCAGTGTGGAGATCAACTGCACTCAGCATAAAACGTGAACAACATTTGGATTTTCAACACTAATGTCAAGTCGGTGCGTCTACGTGATGGTTGAGAGACTTAGCGGTGTGTTACGAAAAGCATTTCCAACAAAATGAAGACATACATCACACCAACAGCTGCCGCATACCCTCACTCCATACTGAAGATCGATCATATAGCCAGAATAATAAGAATAAGCAACAAGGAACTCCGGCTGGCAACGAATCAACCAAGAACCCGTCGCCCAACAAATATGCAGAAGAAAGTGTAGATGGATTGGGGATACACTAATAAAACCATCCGGAAACATCACGTGCCAGTCCAGGAGGTCGAGTGGAACCTAAATGGGAAACGACGAGTTTGGCGTCCCAGCCGAGGGTGACATGGAGGAGATCATATTAAGATGAAACGAAAGCATGTGGGCAGTCGTGGAGCCAGGCTGAAAAGACTGGAGAGAAGAGAGTGAAATGGAGACGTGCTACTGAAACCCTATGTTCCACTAGGAACCCAAAGGACAAATAATAATAAAATAAATATAAATGGATAAGAATGGATAATTATCATCACCTACAGCTGTAACTGGATCCGAGTGAGCAGGTAGGGTGCGAATACACCGGCCAGTTTTAACATCCCATAATTTAACACTTTCATCAAACTATAATGGAGAGTGATTAGTGTATATATATGTTTATAAAATTGTACTAAAAACATACAGATCCAGAAACAATTAAATTTGATTGTGGATTAAAATTACAGCAAAACACATAATTGCTATGACCTTTCAGAGTTTTTAAACACTTTCCAGTGACTAAATCCCATAATTTCAAAGTTTTATCATCAGAAGAACTGCAAAGAAATCTTGAGTCATATGACCATGAAACATCTGAAATCCCCTTTATTATAATAATAAAGAGACTATTAACTTCAAATAAAAACTACCAATTTATGACCACTGATAGATTTTTCAAATTTTCCATCATAAGCACTCCACACTTTGATAAGTTTATCTGCAGCTATAATATATTTAAGAGTATATTCAAATTCTTTTAAAAAAATTTCTAAGTAACTTACATGAACTTGCTAACCATTGACCATTTTCACTAAATTTTACTGATGAAACTGCCTTTGTATGACCAGTTAAGGTAAATTTTAGAAAGTAATTAGGCGCCTTTCAAAGGAAAATAAGTGAATAAATCCATACCACTAATACTTACATCACTGCTCATTTGAGGTATAGGGAAAAAAGTTGATTTTAGATCTGTAGAATAAATATAAATTTGTACATTTAATGAAACCAAGTTATCATATCATATATAGTAATTCTATGTTTACATTTTTTTAATATTTCATACACACCCCACTTTTGAAGCTTTAGTAGAGAAAAGAATGAGGATTAAGAGAGAATAGAATGTTAACACCAGTTCCCTGGTTTCTCATTAGCTGAAATCTTTAAATATCATATCATAAAAGAATTTGAACATAATCTTTGCAATTAAATGAGGTTAGTCAACGGGATAGGCGTTCATTAGCCTGAAAGCAGTGTGGAGATGTTCTGCACTCCACTCAACATGTGGAACAACATCCGGATTTTCAACACCAAAGTCAAGTCAGGGCTCCTGTATGCTTCAGAGACTTGGCGCGTTACGAAAGGGATTTCCAACAAACTACAGATATTCATCAACAACTGCCCCCTACACTGGCTGCTTACTGAAGATCAGATCAGATGGCCAGGATGAGAATAAGCAACAAGGAACTCTGGCCCGGCAACGAACCAACAAAGCAAGAACCTATCGCTCAACAAATATGCACTGGAAAGAAGTGGAGATGGATTGGACATACACTGAGAAGGCCGACTGGGGACATCACGCGTCAGGCCAGTTACTCGAGTGGAACCCAGATGGGAAGTGACGAGTTGGGCGTCGGTGCCGAGGGTGACATGGAGGAGATCGTGAGAGGAGCAAATGAGAGCTTGTGGGCTGTCGTGAAGCCAGGTTCAAAAGATTTCAGAGAACAGAGTTCACTGGAGACGTGCTACTGAAGCCGTATGTTCCATTAGGAACCCAAGCGACAAATAATAAATAATAATAGTAGTCAACGGGAATTGATATGGTGTGACTGACTGACAAAATCAACGTAGAACCTCGCACATAGGGATATCGGCTCAAGTTGCCACACCACACAGTAGTACACAAAGACCGGGTGGATAGAAAAAGTGTGATATTAAGGAAGATAAAGTAGTGTGAGGGTATAAGTAACCGGAAGATAAAGGTTAATGCGAATATTCAAGCTTTACAAGATGTCAAGCAGTGAATACATCTTCGCCATTGTGACCGGTTTTCAGCGATGTCACTAAGAGTCCTCAACCACTGATTCTTATCGTCTCGGTGACCTAAACCAGATAGTCTACATTGCCCCCACACGACTGAGACCAACAGTAAGAAACTTCATCGACTGGTGTACGGTCTTGGTTTGGCCACGGGTGTAATAAGGCGTACAATGTCCGAATTAGGTTAAAAAGGCACCCTAAGTAGTTCCACTTATATATATATATATATATATATATATATATATATATATATATGATTCACCACAGTTTAATAAAAGTTACATGAAGTGTTTCCACGTTTAGAGCAAAAGATTATATCATCACATAAGAGTAAGAGTGAGAAACTGGGTTTCCAGAATGAAAGACTGATTACTGCTTCTTTTTGAGCGTAATTTTGATTCCAGTGGTTTTCTCGCTACAGAATCAGCGAAAATTTTGTAATCATTTTCATGAACTGAGTTCCAATCACCATATTATCACACAATTTCTCTCTTACTAATCATCAGTTAATCTACTTGTCAATCTTCTGATTTAAACTTATGCTCTAAGTAATAAAACATTCTGTTAGTATTCATATTCGTGATATTTTTCTTGAACTTTCTGTTGAATCATTATATATCTAAGTGAAACTTTTTAGCATGTCGTGATTACCTTACATGGATGGTTGTACTTCTAATGACAAAATATCGATTGCTTTTAATTAACTGCATTTATTTGCAAAAAGTGTCTTTTGTGATACGATATTCAAATGTTGCAAGCAACTGATGAGAAACTGTCAAAACTATCAATATCAACATAGGACCAAACACTACAGAACAATGGCTCAAGTCACTGCATCTCATATCAGCACAATAAATAACAAAGCAGTCGAAAACAACGAAAGAGAAGGAAGAATGAGAAAATCCTGAATTCAGTGTAGCAGTTAAGATGAAGATGTGTGGATACATCTACGCCACTGACATCGATTATAAGCCATATTACCCAGCCTCCAACCACTGGTTTCTGCGATCATGTTGCCTCCAACCGCCCAGTCTGCATCGAAATAAAATGGTTGTAAGTTATTATACCACAATCATAATTCTTTATTTACTCAATTTGAATATTGTCAGCCCTTACATCTTTAAGTACAAATCGGTAGCATAAAAGCTGCTACTAGAAAGCAAACAAATATATATTTCTGCAAGAAATTCTTATTTGAAATGCTGTGATATACTTACATGAATTCATGGTAATGTGCATGGTAGATTAATGGAATTCCTACAGACGACAGTAAAACGGTATATGAGCGACTAGCTCATACCAAATTCAGTCTTCAACATTTTCATTTGTTACTAAGGCATAACCCAAGGTAAGTGTTGAGAACAGCATCACCCTCGACAAACGTTGACTGAGCGCCATAAAACGACAATCAGTAATAATGTGATAATAGAATGAAAATGAGGTACGCATCGAAGTACTACAGGGAAAACAGTACAACTTAGATTGAAATATCGCGGCTATCACCACTGCGAGCACCCCAATGCGGTAAAGAAGCTTACCTATTTATTACCTGAGGACCGAAGTCATCCTGAATGTACCACGATGTAACAGCAGTAAGGTGATTCTAGTGATAATTAGCATTCCTAATTGCAACTGCCTTGAGTTTTTCAGAAAAAAATGACTGGGAAAAAGTCATCCCTTAAAATAGTACACTTCTCTTTAACGTTACAGAATTCTATTCTCAACGGTGAAACGTTTTAAAGTGAGGATTCAACGTTCCTTGATCAAAGCCAGAAACCATTGAGGAAACGGTGATCAACTATAGTCGGCTCTTCCTTATGTCCTCTGTTAACCCTCTGAAGCCGACTAGACCATAATTGCTAATACAGTTTCTTTCTCAGTTTCTTCAAGAAGATGAAACCTTTTATGATGTGAACAACCCATAAGTATGAGCAAATTCCATACTTCTCAGTACTTAAGTCTCTTCCCAGTGTTATCAATCTTTTACCTCTTCTCCTTCCAAACTTTCGTCATATTTCTGTGAGTCTGATTTTTTTGAAACTTCTTATATTGCTGCAACCCATGATAACAATGCGGTTTCACAGAATATCATACGTGGACTTTGGAAACTTCACTCTAAAATATAAACCAGCCAACCATTCGGTACAAACATGGGATAGTGTCTAGCACACACAGGCTTCGTAGCCGTTTGTTTACTGTGACTAATAAGGCCGACATGAACATGTCTGTGCTTACGCGTGATCGAAGTCCAAATACATACTCCAGAAAGAAAGGTGATCTTCTACTGATACTCTTCAATCATGGCCTATAGCAATATGATCGACCTGTGTTCATCGTTGGTTTGGTTTCGCTGGAAGTCGAGTTTATGCTTGAAATTAGTACTGGTCAGGAACAAGTGATTATCACGATGAAATTGCAACAGATGATCACTTTTATCGGTTCACTGGCATGAGATTCCGTAGACACCTCCAAGATGCCTTTCTGAACGGTTTAGCTCCCCTACTTGAGCGCTTAAGTCACCTATTATGACTTTATCTGAACGTTTTGCTTTATGTAGCGAAACTGACAGCTTTTCACAGAAATTTTCCTTCGCGCTATCTGGACTGCAGTCGGTGGGCGCGTAGACAGAGATTGAGTACAACCTAGTTCTTACATATCCATTCTATCGAACAGCACACACACACAGTCAAAAAGCGCACTTTCTGCTCTACAACTCAACGCTACGCCTACACCAACGGGTCCACGAGGATCAACCATCAGGTCTCCGGATACTTGTAAGGTGAATTATGAAGATTTACTGCATTGACCAGGTGAAGTCTAGGGAATATCACAGCTTGGTCCTGCATAAATGTCTTAGAAACATAGCACATACCCATGGTTCGAGTCCTGGTGAGTGATGTTCGCTGTCCAATGCTGGATAGGGTCCGGACGTTAAAAGTCCCAATGTGAAACGGACAGTGGTACCCTAGAAGACCAGGAATGGTGTTTCGATGGCTTAGATCGTTGATAATGGATGTAGAGTGAAAGATTGCGCAAGTTGTAAAAGTTGTAGTATTAGTATCAGGAGGTGAAGGCAAAGAAAGAGACAAAGGCAGGGAAGGTAAGTTATTCTTTGTTGGGCTTTGTATAGGACTGGAAGCGGGTGGAAGTTTGACAATCCTTAGCTAGCCACACCGTGAAAGTTGTTTCTGTAGGGTATCTGAGAGAGGTTTCTGTGACCACAGATGCCATAGGACATCTGCTTGAGGTCTGTCACATATAGCCTTTTGAGGATTGTTGGTTCGAGATTTTGTTATTGCACTGTTAGCATGGTGCTCCCAGTTATCCGTGAGAAACGCTTCATTGCCACCACATCCCATTCAGCCAGCAGTGCCACTTCGCCCTCAGACTCCATCGCAGTGCAGCAATTTACATCACAACGGTAACTGTTTTTCGTCCAACCACTATCCAACAAACCTTTCCAGCATCATAGGACGTTAAAGTAACAAGCGTTCCAGCCAGTGTAGCTCGGTGGGTCATTGTGATATGCACGCCCAACCACCACGTCAAGGTAGCATCTATAGATAGGGTACTATTAGTAATAGTTTCTTCAGTTAATTCAAGGAGCAAATTTTTCCTCTATGAGCGGCCCCAAAGTGAAAACTACTCTCGCAACTCTGTCAGTACCTAAACCCCATCATATCATCAACTTTTCACATGTCTGCTTATCAATCATTTTTCGACATTTTACGCCATCCTTGAATTCTTCCATTCTTGCTGTCCTTACTAATGAAGAAGGAAGCAACGATAGGCAATGGTAGACAGTTATCTACATTGGTCAAAGGAACTGGGCTAAAATATTCAATGGTTGTTGAGACCGTGACGGAGAAGGACGGGTCCGCAACTCTCAGAGATGACTTAAAAGACAGGTAGAATGCTACGATGAACAGTCCCATTATTCTCTAGCTAGTCTTTGTTTAATTAGTAAGGCACATTCTAAATGAAATAATAAGAAAGGCCTTCCAAAGCTTGCAGAAGTTGAAAAGCCTGTAATTAATCCGAAACGAGGAAGTGTGGAGGGCACAAGTAGGTTAGTAACAGATATTCAAGGATGCAGGTCAGAACTTGTCGGTGAAATTAACTGAAGTCTTAACTAGCATACGGGAATCAGACATAATCCTACTTTACTGACTGTACCAGTCATCAAAAAGAGAGCGACCATACTAGGGTTACCACATGGGAATCATTCTGACGAAGTGTCTAAGACTCACGGCTTTATAATCACTAGATATAAGTGAAGCTCGGAAACGGCAAACCAGAGAAAACCAGACTAGTTTTAGACCTGATCGAGAATATACCGGCCTGATTTTCCTCTTCCACAGGTTCCGAAACAGACAGATTTGTCGACGGCTGACACCAGCTGTATTTTTCGACTTGAAGACTGAACTAGGCTGCATTTATCGAGAGGTCTTATGATCGTGCCTCTAAATGAAAATGGTGTTAGATGACGAAATCACCCTGAAAGCTGTGTTAGAACACTAGTGAATGTCAAAGCCTACGGTGAGTTATCAGCTGGATCTAGTACGTTGAGTCATGCTGATCAAAGATGTCCTCTCTCTCCATTCTCATTTAATTTTGTCATAGACGTGCCTACAAAGGCCTCCCACTACTCGTTTGACTGTTGCGACTGACGCGAAAATTTAGTAGATTTAGTGTATGCAGATGACAGTTCAGTTAGGTGAAGACGCTGACAGGATGCAGTCTACTGACCACATTGGCTGGCAATTTGAGGATCTTTTGAGTGCGTTTGTCACCTTACAAATGCAAATTGTTGCCCCAAGACAAGTCCGTCTGACAAACGGGAATCAAGTGGTTGAGTACATTTACTACTTCACTTACCTGGGAAGTCAGACAGGTCAGAGACCTAAGACACCTTAGGACAGGAGGAACCAGTGGTTGGAGACCCTAGGTGATATGGCTCAGAACCGAAGTCAGTGGCGCAGATGTATACACACATTATCCTCATCTTAACAACGCTATACCGAATCTCACCATTTTGTCACTCCTCTTTCCTTTCTTCTCGTACTTTATATTTCTTTTGACTGCATTCACTTATCTTCATCCTTCACCTCACTGACTTTTTACTTGGTGTGCTGATATGAGGTGTGGCAACTCGGACCGTTACGCAGTAATGCCTGGTCCTATGTTGATAATGATGATGATGACACCTTAGCATGGGTGAAAAAGGGTCGCTTGGCTTCCCCAGCTTACTATATTTATGGCATCACCGTAATGTCCGACTTTCTACTAAGGATCGAATGAAATGTGATTCAGTTCACTTTGTTCTAATATATGGTTGTGAAAGATGGTTATTAAATGTAGACGACGTGAGAAGGTTCCAAGTAGTTGACCACCGTCACCGTAGCACAGGCCCTATCGTGGTGTCACCACATTAGTGACGTGGAAGTCAGGCATACTATTTTAGGCAAACGTTAGTGACGTTGTAAGCCATAATCGACTCAGGTGGGTGAGACATTTGTTACTCATGCTTAGTCATCTGTCCTGTCGTACAATGTAGGCCAAAAGAGGATCGGAATAGAAAAAGGTCAGAGGCGATCAGACACAAACATGGAACCAATCCCTGAAGTCATTGACAGTTGGTGTGAGCCATGTAGACTAGCGTAGACTTCCTGATTGAAGTCCACGTGACAACCGGATACTAAGTGATTTATCTCAGTATCAACCGTAGTGCCACAGATGTAACCACATATCATTTCCACCCTAATTGCAGACCGAATTTGTTATTTTATTTCTTCTTGCATTTTCTTCACAACTTTCTATTACTTTCGATTACTCTTTCTTCATTTCTGCAATGTCAATTTATATGTTGATATATGGTGGCAACTTTGACCGTTACGCAGTTATGTTGGACCCCATATTGATACTGACTGCCTGAATAACGTGAGGCTACAGGTTTCTGACTACAAATATATTCGTAGCACGGGGTATTTTTAATAATATTATCCAAAATCGGTCATAATGGCAGAGACATTTGTACTTCCTGTCATTTTCAAAAGTTGCAGTATTTTCACCAACTGTAATTTATTCGTTTTTCTTACTCTTATGAAATTTTCTAGCACAGTATCATGTTTTTTTTATTTTGTTGCATACTGTTGTGAAGCGTAATAACTTGAACCAAAGCAGTTCTGTAGAACATTCTACAATGACTTGTTTTTATTTCATACTACTAAAACGATAAGGAAATTGTGCAAAAATCACACGGAAAGTTTGAGAAACCACGCAGTGAAAAGGCTTCATTTAGCATGATGACAACACGACGTAGCGCACTATCGAGTATGAAAGCAATTTTTGGATTTGAAAAGCGATATACTAAGCAACGCATATTTCTTCTGCACAAGCTCTGCATTCGATAGATACTCGTAAGCAAGAGTTTCAGTGCCAACAATTACAGGTGACTATCAGAGAGCCAATCCTATACCAGAAATGAGGGTCAGTAAATGAGTTTTCAAATACTCGACAGCCAATTTATTATATTCCGCGTGTCCTTGTCCTTTGCGTTTTGATCTTCTGTTCCTGTTTAGGCCGAAAAGACGGTATGCGTACCGTAACAAGTATGGTTTTGCTTTATTATTTGATGAGTGACGGAAGATTTGCGTGAACCAACCACTTCCATTCACTCCTACAAACATCCTTAGATCCGATGTACATGTTAGATTACCTCACATAAGAATGTATAACTTGAGGCAGTCCAAACATCTCTCTTTGTGTCACAGAAGCGTCCTTCTAATAACCTGAAAGTCGCAGTGATGAACGTTACTGAGTTACAACTCACCACAAAAATTCATTGAGGTAACCGACTAAAAGTTCCCATCCATTATATTTTGCAGGCAGTCTATCTTTACAAACATAATGACCCCCATAGCATACTTTGTGCATTAACAGTTACCTTTTTTGCATAAAAATGAGTGAATGGACATTTAATAGTAATAATGACTAATGAAGTTCACGTGTATACAAATATACACGAATAATCCTTACTTCACAGTCGTTTCATATGTATATACATACATATCTATGTATGCCTTGATCCTCTGTAATAACATGTAATTTACATTTAATGTACATCCAATATTTTATAGTAAACATCAATATTTGGAAATAGCTAACTTAAGTGCCTATTGACATTCTACAAAACATTTCTTCCGGATGGATTATCGGTAATCAGAACAACGTTCTTACGTCTTTATACTTGAATTAATGATACAAAATTCTGAATCATATCCTATAGCAACAAGCCAACTTCCAATGCTGTACACGCTAAACGATATACACTGACGAAATGTCCATTTATGTTATTATTAATATCATATTATAAGTTTATCCAATTGATACATAAAATCTTAGAATTCGGCACCTAGATTTAATTGTACGTGGTATAATAACTTGTGTAAACGAAATGAAAACAAAAGGGATGACAACTTCGTTTTACCTTGAAACCAAAACGTGTGCCTTAAGATCCAACCATTCTTGTTCAACAAGATTTTCAACCTCAAGTTCTAGAAATAGCAAACAATGATTACTCGGATTCTAAAACCTTCTTAGTGAAATGTCTCTTATGTTTAGAATGGTCAGTTATTCTCTTGGTTTAAAAAAGCTCCCAGTATCCAATATCTGCTTAACTAGCTTGTGTAAACCAGCCTATTTCTTCATGTGTGAACACATGAGTTTCTGACCTCTGGTGGGCAATTCTCTTAGCGTTTTCACAAATATCACCATAGTGGACACTCAGTAGTATTCCTCTGTTCGGATGACTCAGGTTATTCAGTATTTTGTAAACAGTCATCAAATCACCTCTTAACCTTCGATGACTGAGAGGGTATACGCCTAGGTCTTTCAATCTATCCTCATATGGTTTTAGTTGCATCCTTTCAACACGCATTGTAGCCCTCCTCTAAACTTTCTGCAGTAGCTTCGTGCCTCCTTTCAGTTGTGGTGGAGCGAAGACGTTATGGACCTCCGAGGGGGTCGTATGTGGGTCTTGTGGGGTTTCGAAAAGAGCTGTGGGACAATAGCACCTAGTTGTCTGCAAACAAAGTGTAGTATACCGTCTGCTTTTGAGGCACCTCAAAGCCACTGGGAACTGGTGTCCAGTTTCCCCGTCACCATTAAACCCAGGTCGTTTTCTGCTGCTATATGAGAAAGATGTGAACCACGGAGAGAGTGGGGTACCTACTGTGGATTAGAAGTGCGAAGAAACATGGACCGGCAATTATCCAGGTTAAATGCCAATTTGTTATTTGTCACCCACTCCTTCAGCGTTCAGACATCGTTTTGTAGTGTGTTTGACTTAGTTTGTACCGTGACCTTTCCACTTTTCTTTGGCCCCTTTCCGAACCCGCTTCATATCGGCTATATCCCTCATCAAGAAGGGAAGTACAACTAGCTAGTTTTCTCTGTATGCCGATGAACATGCACCACGTACAATGTAATGAAAATACCTTGAAGCCAGACTCCCCAGATTTCTAGAGAGGAGCCCTGGGGATCGGCACGCCTTTTTATCTCCAGGGTGACGGTGGACAGAAACTCTGAATCTGTCAGTTGGATGGTGAGAACTATCAGGAAGTCCCAGACCTAAGTTTCGTGCTTTTTGGCGCTCTTCAGTAAGGTTTATCTACAACCAGCCCATAAAAGGCTGGTTCCGTCAAGCTTTTCGCCAATAGGGTTGCAGAACTAAAGGTAAACAACTACCTGGTCCGTTCAGTCTTATTCTTGACTCCCGAACACGTAGGGGGAAAATTACTGTTCATCTCTAAACCATTCACTCGCAAGGGGTAGACTGGCGAGGAGCAACATTTGGGATCTGCTCGCAGTTCGCTTTTGTCCACCAGATTTACACTCGTTTGTTTCTGTTCTTCTGGTGACAGTAGCCAACTTGTCACACTATGACTATGCTTTTCATATTACATAGGTAGCTTCAGTGCAACTCCGTTTAATACTGAATTTATTTTATTTTATGTTCATGGTTTATTTTATGGTTTCGTAGCAGAGATATCAAGGCTGTGTTTTTGCACATTCATCCTTATTTTTTGCTTTCACACCGTGTTTCAAGTGTTGCTGTCCCACCGCAATACTGAAGTTGTTCATGGTCATTCCGCAATACGAAAACAGAAGGTGAAATCAATCTCGTACAAATTAATTCATATGCTAACGTCACCCAGACAAATAGATCACTAGTTATTAGCCGGTCCTAAGCCTAGATAAAGAAGGAGGTTGGGCATAGAGCTACCAAACTTACACAGGAAAACCAATCCAACCGCTAAACAAACTTCAAAGCACAGAGAAAATATAGAACATAAAATTAAACTTATCCCTAGCTGGAATCAAAGAGGCGAAAGGACGCCAGTCGGTGAAAGCCTTCGGGAAGCCAGCCGACTGATGTGTCTTCTCTCTCTCAATCAAAGAAAAAGTAAGCATAGGGACATGGAATGTCAGAACAATGTTTGAACCTAGCAAGACTGCCCAGATTGAAAAAGAGATGAGAAGATATAGTATACAAGTGCCAGTCTGGGAATCTGCGAGTAATCTGCAGATGCAGTGGGAGTGGACTCTCCCAACTGTCAACTGGAGAGGAATCAATAATCTACTCCATATTGTCACCCAAACGACAACCACCAGCACACCGAGTCTTCGAGTGGCTATCATGATGTCCCCAACATCATCGAACACTGTCTCTCATGCAGTGGAACCAATCTCCTCACGATCAGGATCATGACAGTAAGATGGATTCAACTCGAAAGGAAGGACAGTCACAATCATACAATGCCAATACTACCCAACTGCAAATAATGCAGACCAACAGAAGAAGGAGGAAATCTACAGACAACTGCAATCAGTACTCGATAAGACCCCACTCCAGTTTGCGACATCAAAATTCATTCTAATGAGTGACATGAATGCGAAACTGGGAGTAGACAACACAGGAAGAGAACTCATGCATCATGGGTTTAGAAGCACTCGGTGAAATGATGAACGAGAATGGAGAATTTTTTGCACACTACTGCGCATTTAATGATTTGGTGAGTGAAGGTAGTGTGTACAAACACAAGGATATTCACAAGGCTGGGACATGGATTTCATCGGACAGAAGACACACTAAAAGTCAGATCGACTACATCTGAATGTGAAGAAAGCGTAGACGCAGCCAGCCTACTGGGCACAAAAGCGGATCACTGAGGGAAGCAGATGTAGGTTTACACACTCACTATCTAGTGCAATGAGCCGACCTTCAAAATCAAGTTGAAAGTCTTCACAGAAGTCGGTGATAGTTCACAGTTCAAGTACAACACCCTGAATAGAAATTGAAGGATGAAACTATAATTGACATCTTCACGTCACCTATTAGGAAAAAATAGGAGACATTAAGCAACATCCCCCAGGAAACCTCCACAGAAGAACACTGGAACTCTTCGAAAGCAACGTGGAAGGAAACCTGCATAACCGTGTTAGGACGGAAGAAGAAACAAAACAAGGAATGGATCTTGAAGGACACATGGAAGCTGATATATCAGGGAAAGGAAGATGGTGAAGCAGAAGATGAACTAGTACAGTGCATTGCAGTGCAGTGCAGTGCAGTGTGAGGATCAGTAACGAAAAGTGGAACTGAACACAACCTATAAAACATTACGCTGGCCAAAGAAGTGAACAAGAGTGCGCTAAAACACAAAAGACACTTCTACTACACATTGGCAAGTGAAACAGAATGGGCTGCAGGCAGGAGAGACACAGAACTGACAACAGCAGATCAAATAACCACGTTACTATCTGGGAGGGAGGAGATCAACGCAGATGAAAGCAATGAAGGATAGTGAGGGAAACCTAATTACCGAAGAGAGAGGAGAAACAAAGGGAACGATGGACTGATCATTACAAAACTCTCTTGAATCGACCACCACACCACCAACACCACCTGCAACTCGTCAAGAAATGCTCTCAGCAGCTTTATCACGGAACTACCAGTGAACACGAGCCCCAACACATAAACAGAAGTGAATTCCTGAAAGCCATGAAGTTGCTAAAATCTGGGAAAGTAGCAGGACTAGATGGAATTCCTCCAGAAGCACTGAAAACACACTCAGAGACAACAGTGGGCACGCTCACAGCACTATTGAGGAAGGTTCGCAAGAAAGGAAGGTACCTTTCGGTTGATTGGCAGAAGGACCACACTGTCAAACTGTCACAGAACGGCGACCCAAGTCTTTGCAAGAACTGGTGAGGAATCATGCTGCTGTCCACCCCAAGCAAAATATTATGCCGCATCATCATGGAGAGACTGAAAGATGTATCGGATTCAAAACTACGACGGGAACACGGTGGCCGGCTGGCTGGCTGGATTTGGGAAGAACAAATCATGTGTGGATCAATTTGCGACGCTACGCTACACATCATCATAGAACACAGCATAGAATGCCAGTCAACTCTCTCTCTCCCTCTCAAATTCATCGATTTACACAAGGCCTAAGACAGCGTCAACACTGCGGTTTGAGTGACACAAACCTTCATCAACCCCATTCAACAACACCCAAATGCTTGCTATATGCTGCTACATGCCAAGTGATTCACAATGCAAAGCTCACTGACACTTCGAAGGGAAGACAGGAGGTAGTAAAACAAGGCTGACACCTACTATCACCACTCATCTTCCTGTTGTGGTCGACCGGATCATGCAACAAACTGTGAAGAGCTGTGAGAAGATGGACATACGCTGGCTGTACCGATGAAAAGACCCAGAAGGAGATTTGGATTTCGCCACAGATGATGATTTATGTCTAGTGTATTGTCGCATAAACTCGAAGATCTACAGGCAAAAACCAATGAGTTGAGAGAAGAGTTGAGGTAGTGAAGATGGGACTTCTTTCAGGTGAACGTGAGAAGACGGAGGTGATGAAGATACCCAACCACCACCACCAACAACAACAACAACAACGTCGACAACGACGACACCAAGAAGCACCAATCACCATGAATGGGAGAAGCCTAGAGGAAGCAGGCTCTCCCTCTCCCTCTCTCCCACCTACCTACCTACCACCTACCGAGACAGCATCGTTTCACAAACAGGCGGCGATGACGACGGCGACGACAAAGATGAGGACGTGAAAGCCAGGATGGGAAAAACAGAAAGACAGGCCTTCCTGCATTAATCTGAAACAATCAGTGTGGAGATCTACTGCACTGCACTCCACTCAGCATGAGGCGTGAACAATATCCAGATTTTCAAAACTAATTCAGTCAGGCAAGTCAGTGTTTCTATGTGATGGTTGAGAGATTTGGGGCGTGTTGCCAAAAGCATTTCCAACAAACTACAGACACACATCACATCAACAGCTGCCGTCTACGCTCATTCGATACTGACACTGAAGATCAGATGTCTAGAACAATGAGAATGAGTAACAAGTAACTCACTCCAGGTGGCTGGCTGGCGACAAACCAACCAAGAAGATATCTTCCAACGAATATGCAGCAGAAGAAAGTGGAGATGGATTGGATTGGATTGAGCATACACTGAGAGGGCCATTTGAGGACATCACGCATCAGTCTAGGGTTTTGAGTGCAAGTCGAAAGGGAAACGACGAGTTGGGCGTTGGAGGGGAGGGGAGTGTTACATGGAGGAGGTGTGTGAGGAAGAAATGAAAGCATGTGGGCAGTGTTGGAGCCAGGTTGAAAAGACTGGAGAGAAGAGAGTGAAATGGAGACGTGCTAGTAAATCCCTATGTTCCACTAGGAACCCAGGAGACAAATAATAACAATAATAGAGTTTTACCATGCATAAAAGGCAACTCGGAAACATTATATAGGAGTTTCAGTCAGGCTAGGATTAGAGTGGCATTTAAACCTGCAGACTCACTTAGTAATAAGCTTTGTATGTCAAACGATCTGTTGATCCAATTAGGCAGAATAACTTAATTTGCCAAATCTCTTGCAACGATCGTGAGGTCAAATACACTGGTCAAATTAGCCGACCAGGGTCAATTAGGCTATCCAAGCACAAAAACCTGCCTGGGTCAAAATCGGTAGATCCTGTTGAGGTAAGGAGTTTAGGAAAAAGCCCAGCCATACCTATTCATGCGATTACACGCAATCACACAATAGGATAGGATAGGGCGGAAATTCTTAAAACCAACCTAGCAGGGTGGAGGGAGAGACTGGTAATCGAATCTTTGTTTATCGAATCAATGCCTCACGTGTGCAACAGGACTAACTCGGCACCTGTTCCGGATATATAGAAAATCTTACTTACCATAATGCAAAGGGCACGAGGAGATTAGGACTATGATAAAAAAATATCTTAAAGTTGTGTAGTTATCTTGATATGACTATGGACAATGTTATGTCCAAAACGTAACCCAGTAAGCAGCAGTACTACACTGTGTGATAAATCTGACAGGTCAATAAAAATGGGGCTAAAAGCACTTTATCTGAACTCCGTCACATCCACATAGCGTCACAGAGTTGTTCAGTGGTCACCGCTCAAATCCAATCATAAAATTTAGAATCTCAGAATCTCAATATGATATTACACTGTTGTCTGCGTTATGCATCATTATTCCAAACTGGTGAATTATTCTCATATTCTTCAAATAAATGTGTGACTGGTGTAAACAATATTAGAGAAAATGGCTCAAATGAGGACTGAAGAAAAACAGAGACTGGCAAAAGATAACTTATGCACAATCTACTTCATTTTATGAAATAAATACTAAAGCTTACAGATTTGTCGTTTTATGATAAAATAGAATGAAACTGGGGAGATGGAATGATTGCTAGCACAAAGTGATGAGGTGTTGAAAAGACAAAACAATTAAATGGTTCCTTTATTCTTGTTTAGGGCCGGCTTAATGGTGTGTAAAGCGGATAGCATGCAGGAATAAACCCACGGACATTCTTCTCACACGATGTGCACGTCAACAACCCCTGGCTTGATCAAAGTAGATTGGCGAAAATAGTGTAAGTGTAAGTTATTTTGAGGAGAAAAGTGATAATTTTTAATCGTATATTGATGGTGGTTTTGAGGAAGGAAGCAAGAAATGCTAGAGGAACTTAACAAGGAAGAGAAAGTGAATAAGAGCTAATTTTAAAAGTTAAACTCAGATAGTTTCTATGAGTAGTGTTAAATACAAGCTTCTCATACTTTGTCAGAACCAACTACAGTCAGTTTACTAAGCGATTTCATCGCTGCAACCGCCATCACTGTCTACGACAGTGCAACTAGGTAATGCCGAAACAAAACCAGGTTTAAAACACTGTAATACAGGCAGGTAGGCTGTCAAATAACTTTTCAGAGCTTTTAAAACTTGGTCGAGTAAGCAAATATACTTTTATGTCATTTGCCTTCACATTGTGAAAGTCTAAGCATCTTCAACTATGACAACTTAGTACCAGATTAGCTTGTAGTCAAGTTTAAGAATCCCTTTCTGAGAAAGCATTTATTTTGGTTCCCGAATTTAATGACACCTGAGTCTTTTGGTCAAGTAAAGTATGAATTGTGGTTAATGTCTTTTCATCTGATACTTAAAGATTAGAAACGGTAATACTTTCATTGAAATTTTCAAAAACTGATCACCCTTTAGCAAGGAAACATTTAGTCAGGGTTTTACATGTTAATTTGTAGTACAAATATAGTTTATCATACTTCGCCAACATTAACATGTAGGGATGCGTGTTACAATTGCGTAACGATTGACCAACCCTACTTAATTTGATGTGCTCTAGTACCTGCTTAACCAGTACTTTACCTAACGTGTAAGTACTGGTAACAAAACACAAATCAAAAGAACTGATACGCAATGTATTTAAAGGAACTATGTATTTAGGGTAATGTTATAATAATGAATGAGGGAAAAGTTTAATCAACTTATCTGGCTTGTCAGGCTGAACTAGGGACTCAGAGTACGTGCGTGGTAATCAGCACAATGGAGCGGAAAAATGGCGTCCAAGCCTCCTCGGATGCATGCTCGTTAAAACAAAACTTAAAACACCCTAAGCATCCGGAGGCAAGCTAGAGATTTATTTAGTTAATTTAATTTAAACTATTTATTTTAGCCCTAGTTATATTTTGGTGCCAGGAAGGTGCACTACACGCACTCAGTTCAGATGAGTGGTTTGCAAACAGATTGGTCTGCACACAAAACAACATTCAGTGTTGATGAAAGGTGAGTTCCAGCACAGCATTCATTCAATACTGGCACAAAATTAGGCAAGTGTACACCATATGTTTAATATTTATTCAACATACAATGTTGCTTTTTAAAATATATTACCATAGAATATATTGATATCAACAGTTTTAAGCACATTCTTTGAAAAAAATATATTGCTTTGCTGTTATTTGTATATACACTATCCTAAATATTGTTTAAGACATTCGACTCGTGTTATTGGTAGACCGTTAATTAGTGCTACAGCGTTCACTTGCAGATACATGTTTGAAGATATTTGTTAATTGTCCTATTGGCTTTGAGCAAGACAGCAAGATTTTTCGACAATTTGGAGAATTACTCCGGTGAGATTTCTGTGTTTCAGGGTTTTTAATACTCAGATAGTTATCTGTGCATGTGATATCAGGTGAATCAATGTATGCTTGCTGACTACATTTTTTGTTATCCATATTAACAATTGTTCGGCTTCCAGTACCGTTTTTATCTGAGTAGCGAACATCACCTTCTTCGTATGCAGTAATAACCTCAAATTTTCGTTGCATACTTGCCATTTCAAAGTTTCCCCGTCATCGTGTTTCAAAGGTATATTTTCTCCTTCAGATTCCCTTGATAAACGTTCTCTTCTTGGTTTAAATGGTGCTGGTCTGTATTGGTCAGTACACAGTAAACCAGGAGGAAAGTTGTGTTAGCCTCTGATATACTTTCAGATCTACTAACTTCTTGGTTTAAATATTCATAGAATATATCTTCAATATGACGATTTTCTATCTCTGGTTCATTGGCCGGAACATTAGCAGCTATACACTCTACTAACCGGTCAACGTCTTCCAGCGTTAGGCTTTCTTTAATTGATAGTTCAAAATCCATCTTCTCTTTATCTTTTCTAATTGTAAAACTTGTTTCTTCAATACCTTTTGATAAACCTTCTCTTTTTTCCCCCATGTCATTCATTACAGTCATGTCTGTAACTGAAGAAAATGATAGATGTTGGTTGTTATAGGCTTTTGTATTATTTGAAATCTCCCGTCTCAGTTTTGAGCAACTTGTTACTGTTGTGGTTGTTTCTGTTGTAGTTGTGGTCATCATGGATGTAACAGAATGATTTCTCTTCGATAAACTTTCCTGTTGAAATATATCATTATTTTTTGTCAACATCTAATAATTTATTACTGGTTAAACGCTCCATGAGAAGTTGTCATCATTGTTGTCGTTGATATTATCTTCTGTAAGCCTTCTATCATTCCATTCAGATGATGTATTTACCAATGCAGTGACGTCATTAATAACTGCTGTGTCACCTGGAGTTGCTGCGTTTGCTAAAAGTACAGTTGAATGCGGCTGTGTAGATTCATTCTGTACTATATCCTGACTACCACCATTATCTTTATCGTTCTGATCATCGCCAACATGAGGTATACTAGAATAAGTAGTCTGTTTACGTCTCTGCGTTTGTAAATGAGGATGATTACCGTTTATAATCTTTAAACTAAATCCAGTACCACATATAGTGGTAAGAGCATCAGAAATGTTTGTTATTCTTGGTCCATTTAAAGCTCTGGGATGTAGTTTGATTACATTTCTAGACGTGTTCTGTTGACACACATTAATTCGCATAGACTGGCATAAACTTTGGCACAAAGACTTTTGAACAGAACAGACTAACCTTTCCTTCTGACTCATTTTAGTCTGATATATACCTGTATTATTCAGTCGTGACAAAGTTAAAAGGTTTTCTGCTGAATTCCCATGTTCTCCAACATTTCCTTCGTGGACATCATTATCTTTTATAAGATAGTGACCACTACTCTCCTTACTTAAACATAGCAAGTGTGCATATTTAATCTGTGCTAGACGGATGCAAATATGTAGCCTCTCTACAATACAGTTTATTAAATCAGGTGATTATGAGAACTTTATAGGCAGAGAAACTTTCCTTTCAACCATTAGCGGCTTACTGGTTTGATGACCATGCTGTTTTTGTTGATGATGATGATGATAATGGTGTGGGTGATAACGGTGACTATGTTCTTGGTCATTGTCATAAAATATTAACCCATCATCCAGTTCAGAAGTTAGAGAACTGAACTCAGATGATGCAAGAACTTTCATCATCGTTGATGTCGTCTTTGCTGTTGTAACAGCACCTGCTGCCGACGAAGATAAAGATGGTGTAATGAAAGTCTTCTTTCCATGGTATAACTCCCTACCCACTACATCTTGATTCAATATGAAGTCTAAACATTTGGCTAATTCATTAGTTGTTAGGCTCAGCACACTGCCTAACGACTGCCTATCGCATAACACATTAAATAATAAATTAGCAGTATGATTAAGTAAGTTAATTTTTCCAAGCAATAATAAATTCCAATTGAAATTGAATAACAAAGCAATACTTATATAACAGTCTTTCGTCCAATCACTAAATTTATCCCATTCCAACAAGACATTACTGAAATTCAAGTGGACAAATCGATTAGTAGGACTGTAAACGTTACTTTCATGAGCAGTATTGAAATTACTATTAGTACTGGTAGTAGTAACATCAGGTTGTAGGCAACTGATAACAAAATGTTTTTCGAAAGTGTGAAGCTTTCATCAATAACTCCATACACTGTATCAGTGGATAAGTGATACGGTTATCAATGTCAACATAGAAGGCTGTGTATATCAATCGACGAAATAATGAATAATTTTGTGACTTTTTGCTTTCACCTAAGCCACCAGGTTTATAAAATCCTGAACATTTAAAAATAAGTGTAAATAATGTACATACTATATTGATAAATCGATTAACTTGAGCTAATTCTATACAATAATGAAATAGATCATCATATGTCAAAGATTTTTGTACACGTTTACTCATATAACGTAGACTGAATGATGTACGCGGTGAATAGGCTGGAAAATGCAAACATGACGTTGATTTGAATAAAATAGGTAAAACATCTAAACATTGTCGACGTATAGCTACACAAGATGGTAGTACTTCTAATAAATCACCTCCATTATTGCCTTGTACTTGAACATATACTTCTGATGCATAACTATATTCCAGTGGACTACATAAGCCGGATAGTAATAAAGCGTCTACAGCACTTTTATAGCGCATATAAATAGCTAAACATAATGGATGAAAATATAATACAGCTGTACTACTAAGTAAATATTTCAAATCATTTGGATCCGACCGAATCTCAGCTGGACAATCATAGATTTGATAGATATGCTTAAATATATTTGGTCTTTCCTTAATCATAACTGTTAGACGTTTAACAGAACTGTTACGAAATGTGTTAATTAGCCATTTTGTAGTAGGATGATCATATGTTACATATGTTGGAATTATCTGTTTACAGGTATCATTCATAGGCAGTGATGATAATGCTATTGGCTGTTCTCGTAACGCCATTTCAATGTATTCCATCGAACATAAACAGAAATCATTATCTATCAATATGTATCATTCCATTATATGAATGAGAAAATAAGAAATAACTCTCGGCCTAATTATAAGAAGAATTATCGATTTTTCTGTGTTGTTTTAATTAAGGTAATTAATATATAATACATTACTAATAGGTGGCAGATAAATAACCAGTGAATACAATAAAGATATAATCGCTGATTGGAACGAATTAATAGGCCACTATCAATGTATGAACCCCTAAGCAGACACCCTTATATTGCCATTAATTTCAGTTTGATAGTAATGATGAATAGTAGTAAGTAGTGGAACTCGGAAAGCACGTTTCGTCCTATACGAAACTAGGCAGTCAAATGAACCTGTATATCAGCGAGCACTGTTGTCCTAACTGAGATTCGAAGCCGACGCATTTAGCTTTAGACACCGAAGTGTTATCTAATTGGCTACTATGTTGTGATATGAAGTCGTTTTGTGATGACTATGTTTTGATGTTAAGGCTTGAAGTCATTGATATCAAAATGAAATTACCGGTAATACTGAAAGGTCTGCACAAAAGTCTATATGTCAACATATGGGCGATAAATTTGATTCAGATCAATCAGCGAAGGAATAGTAAAAGCTAGAACATCAAACATTCATTTGAACTTAATGAATTCTTTTCATGCATACTATCCAATGCTTTGCTTGTGTATAACTTCTGCCGGGCTGCGTTCACCAGTCGTAGCTGCTGGGTGGTGGTATTCGGGACACTTTCGGGGAACTGTGCAGCCAGCACCTGTGCCTGGGAGTTTTCATCCTAAGTGGGAAGTGCTCGTCTCAGTAGCTTTGTAAGCTTTACAGTCAATACCAGCGGATCTTCTTCTATTCCAAGTTTCGTGCTCCGGAACTGTTGCCTTTCCACCTCCCTATCCGCTGGGCTGTCAAACTCCACGTCCAGCCGTTCAACCGTTCTCTTCTGAATCTCCTTCCCATCCATGCGTTCCGCGCCATCATAAGCTGCCTTCGTTTTACCCTTCAGCGATATGCCAAGCACTGAGACCTATGTACCTGGATCTCCGACACCAGCTCCACGACAGACTCAAAATCCCTGAGGAAGACCTTGATGTCTTCATCTTTAAACACTGCAGGCCATAGAATATTCATCACATCCAGAATTAGCAACGACAAGACTGAGAAATAGAAAGGAATGCTTTTTATGATATGTTGTACAGTACTAATGAAAATTGTGCACCGTCCACTAAATAGTCATTTGCATAATGTGTTTCATTTCCTCTTCTGCTTCTATTTCGACATGCTCTTAATACGCTCACGTTGTCTCTTCCGCTGCTCTGAGCAGAATACTTACCCATAGCTAGTAATTGCCTACGATTTCTGCCGACCTCTCAACATATGCTAAGTATATCCATTCTTATCCATGGCACCCACCGCACTTGAATACATCCGACGAATCAAGTATGATTACATTTACTGAACACGCATGATGAAAATGAATGAAATTCAACATTAACAGTATATGAAAAGAGCACACCTTCTTTAACGAACGGTAAATTTCCACATAAAGTAATAGAACAAAGACGTAACAACAAATAAAATTTTCTCCTCAAGATTCCATTTACTATAGCCGTACAATAGTATTTAAAAACATTCGTAACAAATAACAATCTATTATTAGTCAACTGTGACACCTAATTTCTATGTTGTTCAAGAGTACAGTAGAAAGTTTCAGAGGATCGAAGAAAATTATGACTTCAGCCATCACAAGCTCAATAAATGCACACAATGTTTTTGAATACAAAAGTCAGGTCTACGATTTTGGATTGCCAATGATTCGGCTATGCACAGATGACTTAATTCAAAAGCCTTTGAAAATGTAGGGAACAACCCAGCTCAGAGAACAGAATACAACCAAGAACGTAGGGAAGTACTCCGAAAATTTTGAAGGCATTACTAGAAGCGGAAAGACATCCGAAGATAATATGGTGTTGAAGAACAGAACTGCTGACAATTTTCTCTCTCCTCTGGATAAGCAAGCTGGAAAACTACTCTGTTTCTCAAATTAGGGTGATAAAACTATTGTTACAAAAACTTTATCGGGAAGTGTTTCACTTCTAGGCAACCAGACTCAAATTCCGGAACACAACGTTTATAGCTAATGATTCCTCCAAGAAGAGTGGGTAAAACCTATCTCCCTTGTTACACGTGTAGTTAGACTTATGAATACTATTACAGGCGACTGCTTTTTGACATTGCTGATTAGTTTTATTACAGACTATCTTATTTCTAGCAGTGTAAAGGTTATACATTCTTGTAGGTTATAATAAGAGCTTTTAGGTTGAAGGATGGTCAGCTTCAAAGCAACTTTCACCGAAGATCAACATCGACCAAAGCGGTCCGTAAAAACCATCAGTATTTCATCTGGGTTAGTAAAAGGTTACACTGTTCAGTGAAATAACTACAGTGCAAGATTATTTCCTTTAGTTTTCGCACTACATATCCAGTCGCAGATTACATTTGCTTCACATATCGAAAACGTTTTAGCGCTAGTTGATTTTCCCACTAGTTATAAATGTACTCAAATACTGAAAAAAGTTCACGCTTTAGTCAGCAATAATTTTTTTGATTTCTGTACTGAGTGATCTGTGACTTTGCCTTTCGGTAAGAATGAAGAATTAGTTAAACCATGTTGATGAATACCAACCAAGTACTAACTCTAGATTCATAGCCTCGTGTTGACTGTTTCAAAACCCATAGTTGATTGGTCTTGTCCAGGAAATTCTAACTGTGAGAAAAGTGAAATGCTAGTAAAACAGAAGGTATTACCATCTTTGTAAAGATCGTTTCCATGTTGATTACTAAATAGACTTTTTGTGATGAATTTTAGTTCTGATTTAGTCCTACTCAAGTTTTATTCAGTAGTAAGTAGTTTCCTGCAAAGTTTTAACTGGACTCTTTTTGTATGGATCCAAAAGTGAAACAGTATTATTTACTGATAACGTTTCGAGCAGAATTGATGATTGCTCATAATCATATCAAACTTATGTGATCAGTATATAATACTGTTTCACTGTGTAATAGGAAACATAATGGAATAGGACTTTGCCATAGTGCCCTAATTATATTCTCATACTAATTAGAATGAACGTTTCTTCATTCCTTGATGACAGTTGATCATCACCTTAATACAGGACGTGTTTTAACCTTGGTACCATAGTCAATAACGAAAAAGAGTATGGAGCACGTGAGCTGTCCTTTTTAACCTGCTTTTGTGTAAAGTCTTCAAATAAATTTACTGGACATATGGGCATGACGTTCACACTTTTACCAGCCGTAAACTATTCTTCGTTTGTGTTAAAGATAAGCTTCCTCGTTTGACAGCTTCTATTTGCATCTTCTAGTTCAGCTGTCTTTATGGAACAAGGTACATCAGCCGTAGCGAGATAATGCTTTCTAAACGTATACGAGAACATGTTCCAGCTTGTAGATGAAATAAATTCTGTTAGGAGTTTTATTCTAAAACATTTGATTGATTTTCATCACTCAACAAAACCAAACAATGACATTAAAATTGCTTATCAAATTCGCCCAAACTCCCTACGTTGTCTTATTTTTCAATTTTCAACCGGCCTGGCGCTCTACTAACTGATCTACGAGGTCCATCTGCTGACCAGATCTTTATTTCACTTCAATCTCCAAGGGTTTTGTCCGACTACCGTGTGAATTCGTGACGCGTTACTGTCGCTTGATCGTATTCACACTGACTGCCTAGTCAAGACTTCTCATCCTAATCGAAATCCAAAAGAATTAGAGAGGAGGAGCATCATATTGATTATGATTTGACTATCTGAGACAGCCATAGTTTGGCAGACTAGTATTTGTACTGGGTGATGATTGAAGGTGAGATGAAAATTTGGACCTTGGCTGGACTCAAATCAGCGACTACTGGGTTACCGGCCCGGTGCTGTACTCTTCCTTTATCATTGTTATTTTTATTATAATTGCCTTCACTTAGATTGGTTTCCGGAGTTATTCACTTAATTGTCTTAATCTTTTTAGAAAACATTGATTTCATCTTGACCAAGTTGTCCAATCTTATAACATAATACTTAACTGATTTACTACTTTCATCAATTTGTTCACCCCTTTCTGAGTTACATACCTTCAATGAACCATTACATACATTGCATCATCTACGTTGTTATCATTCATGCTTCAATTGTTCTGATAACCGCAAATACCTATGTCAACATCCATTTTATTATTATGGTCATCATCATGATATAGGGTTCAGTTTTCCTCACGGAATATAATCTTTCAAATATTATATACATACAAATGTACAGCTCGAAAATAAATTCGTTGAAAGGAGTCCCTTCGCTTAATATCTTGTTCTTGATGTTACAATGAGGATTTTTAAATTATATATCTATGATGCATGGTCTCAATCAATCCATATTTTTGGACACTATTCAATTGCTTACTGCAGGAAAGATAATTTATTTCAATGTATTGAAAGTTATGCACAAAGATTTGTTTTATACAAAGTTGATTTTTGAAAAGATGGGGTGAGAATTCGAATAATTCCTCAAATCTGTGGTTAGTTGATTGCCGGTGTTGGATACACTGAACATGATTAAAATAAATTTTTGTTTGTATTATCCCGTCGTTGAGTGGACCGAATTGATGGGTCCCTGTTGGCATAAAGATTCTTGCGTGGATATCTCAATATTGCCTGTGAATGATACATTATTGATGGGTAGTGGCTAGCAGTGGAATCCAATAAAGACCGATCCATTCGTCCACTCAACGACGGATAATGCAAACAACAATATTAAAACTATATCTGTCACACAAGAAACGGCTATCATGACACGGTGGTCTAGTGGATAACGCTGTGGCGTCTGAAGCGATCGGTCCCTAGTTGGATTCGTAGTGGGAACAACGTCACTCACTAGGGGGCAGGCACATCCACCTGACGAGTCTCAATC